CTGCAGACCCCTGCTGGCATCTATCGCTAAAACATCGGCATTCAGGGCAAGCCTGACATTGAGCCCCTGGAATGTGATGTGCTATGCTGTTCCCACGTCGGAAGACCCAATTCTAGCATCCCAAAATTTGTTTCCCCCCTCAAAAATTACTGCACATAGACGAAAAAGGACTGTTCAATACTGCTTGCTGCTGGTTCGCCGGACGCAACAAGCACTGCCAGTCAATATCAACCCAGGGTACAACAGCATTGGCACGGCGTGTATTCATTTGCATTTTCGGCGGAGATCATAGACGGTCGGCAAAAATTGAGGACGCTGCGGCGGAATCTTTCTACTGGATCATTTTTACCTGGCGACGATGGGGACATCTGTGAATGGCAGCATGAAATGACGACACGAAAAAGTCGGTAATGAGTGTTCATGGAAGGGCATTGGAAGTTCGAGAATAACCTCGAGTGGTGTCGGTGACTGCTGTGTGCGCAGCATGGATTTCCTTATCCATGCCGCTTCAATTGGTGGCTGCTCTTGTTTTATTGATGGCGTTTCTGAGAGGGTATGCATTCAAGGTCCTTGCGCATTTGACATGGGAGTACTCGTCGCCGGACGGATAAACCCTCTCGATCGAAGAGGCAACGCCCAGGCCGACGATATTGCGGCCACAGGAGCAGGCAAAACTACAACTTACATCTTATTTCAGAGGCACAGTCCCGACAGTTCAATGTCGATGGCCTTGCCGGGGGATGACTTGTGGCAGACTGAACTGCAATTGGACCATTCATCAGACACCTGCTTTCCTTCTGAAAGACGCCGGCAAACCGAAATGACAGTCTGGATGACTGTGAATCTTCAAAAAGAATTCTGCTTTGGTACTTGCGCGTAACATAGATAGAGAGGAAACTCCCAACCAAGCAAATGAACAAAACACCCCCGTTTCTGCTTCATTCGTAGCGCCGTCGTGATCGTGATAAACGGCCGCCTAAGTGAAGTCGCTACCATTTCGTTTCTTCCATGTTACTGACTGACTGGTGTTCCGATCACGTATGAGGCTCCGTATATTCTTCACTCCCAGCGGGATACCAACCCCCTCGGCCACAAGGCTGCCTCGGATGGGGCTGCGTTGAGGTTGAAGCTGGCGCCTGTGAAACCACATTGCCGTACGGAGTAGTAAGCACTCGTAGTGGATTCATCGTACCGAGTCCTGTGTACGGAGTAGGTCTTCCCAACCCACATCTTCTCACGATCCACGATCCACGACCCACGATCCACGATCCCACTTCCCCGTGTTACTACGTAGTTGTTCCGCCGCTGACTCCACCTCCCTCTTATAAGCGGGAACGACACAGTGCACATACTCGTCGTTGACGATCATCCCTCACCTCGAGGCGTTGGATCTGTTATATATCTGTGCTTGAGTGTGAAATACCTTCTAAAATCATCAGAGTCGTCAAGCCAGCACAGTCGCTCGCTCGAGCCAGGCGTCACACTAATTATCCCATCTACATAAGCAATCAATCCAGCCGAGTGGGCCACGACGATTTCCACTCACCCTGGGTCAGTCGGGGAACGTGTGTGCGTCGTGTCTACCATTGACAGAACCACCGCGTTCACCATTGCCAGCGGGAGATAAATAAGGAGTGAAGCGCAAGTGAAGGTCAGTCCGTGGCCGACACGGGAACAGCTGACGCTTCGAAAAGGTAAGTGGATAATTATATAGACGCTTGTGCCACCGTAGACTCGATCCTACAAAAGTATGTATACACGCAGACAGGCGACGTCACTGATAGCCTCTCCACACACTATCGGTCCTGTTCTGCGTGCTCAGGCTGAAATATCCCGTGCTCGCCAGGTTGACTTGGAACTCGCGGAACTTCCTCGCCTTGGCCTTCTTCTCGAACAAAATGTCCAACTCCATGTACGTCAGGCCCATGGGCTCGGGGAGCCGGAACCAACACCATACGAGGCACACGAGCGTCGTGCCGGCGAAGAAGAAGCACGATTTGCCCTTCCAGTCCCACGCGCTGGGGTTGAGCATGCGCGGGGTGATGATGTTGGTGATGATGCTGATGACGTTGTAAGCCACGCGGGCGATGACCACGGTTTTGACTCGCAGGCGCGACGAGGGGATTTCGGCGACGAGCACGTAGCAGACGGGGCCGACGGTGAAGTCGTAGACGAAGGTGAGCACGATGATTAAGGAGCCCAGCGCCCAGGAGACGCCGTCGCTTTGCCTGAAGGTGCCGACAATGCCCGTGACGATGAGGATGATCAACGACAGGACTAGGCCGCCAATGTACAGCGTCCGTCGGCCGATGTGGCGCATCCCGAACCAGGCCAAGATGCCCGCACAGATGGCGCCGCCGTACATGCCGATCGCGAGGTTGAAGCTGTCGGCCGTGTTGAAGCCGGCCTGTTCGTAGAAATAGGCCGCGTAGCCCGTCATCGTGGAGCCGCACAGAGCTTGCGTGCACCATACCATGCAGCAAATTTCGGTCCGCCGAAGGTCGGTGCCCTTGAAGCAGTCAAAGTACGAGACGCCGCCACCGTTGAGGTACTTCTCGACTTCGTTCGTGTGCTGCATCATCGCAACGGTCTCGTCAGCATTGAAGTCGGGATCGGAGTCTTGGGTGGTGAGTCTCAGGAGGGAGCGCTTCGCTTCATCGATCCTCTCGTGTCGCACGAGCCACCACGGGCTTTCCGGCGCGAAGAAGACGCCGACCAAGATCGGGACGGCAAAGGCCCATTGCAGCCCGAAGGGAATGCGATAAGACCATTCGGAGTCATTGTGGACGAGACCCCGAATGACACTGACGCCGCAGATCTGGCCCAGCAGCCAACACATATTCACATTAGATGTGAGATAGGCTCGGAGAGCTACCGGCATGACTTCGGCGGCGTACGTTGTACTGAGAGTTTGGAAAATGCCCCTGTTGTACGAGAGTCAGTTCCCTGACTCTCTAGATAAGGATTGACGTGGCTGATACTTACCATGGCAGGCCGCAGAGGATTTGAGCCGCAAGGAGCATCCTGATGTTGATCGCGAAGAAAGCCAAGAAGACAAAGAGAGCCATCCAGACCAGGGTGCCGACCATGGTCTTGTGGTAACCAAATCGATCGGTGAGAACGCCATTGAAAAACAACCCAATTATCTCGCCGACGACGGCTGCATTGGTGAGACCGGACTGCCACGCCGGTGAGATCTGGTAGTCTTGCTGGCCCGGCGGGGCATCCGGGTGAAGCGGTTTGCCGTAAGAGCGCCTGAAGACCGGAAATGCAAAGAACGAATTGACCAGCGTCAGATCATAGCCTTCCATTACTATGGTCATGCTCAACAGGAGGGACCACGCAATCGCCTTTGGATATAGTCGACATCCCGTCAGGAAAGTCATGGCGTGTTCGGCCTTCGTAGCCGCTCGCGCGTCCACCGACAGACGACGGAGGCTTGGGATGGCGGCCGAAAGTCCATGGAAGAGATCATCGTTGGATCGAGTGACATTGATGCGATCCTCGGTCGATTCTTTGGCAGTCTGCGTCCTCAGAGGTTCCAGACGACGCTGAGTTGGACCACCAGCGACAGTGACGAACTCGAGGAACTCAGACGGGTGCGGCTTGTCGGTCGAGGCTGTGGAGCGGCTGCTTTCTGGACCGCCAGGGTCGCGGTGAGGGCTGCCTGCATCGCTCATTGCCGAGCATGAGAGGGTTTGCTTGGGATCATGATGGTCGGCGCATTACCGGGCAGGTCGAACGTCGTCGAAATAACAGGAGCGTTGGTGGGAGAAGCGTCTCGCAAACATACGAACAAGGTGTCACAAGAGAAGCGAGAATGGCTGACACGGGGATGGATGGGAAAAAGGTTGGGTTCGATCTCGCGCCTGGCCGAGGTGCGTCAGGGCAGAGCAGATCAAGTGGAAATTCGCTTCCCTCGCGTGTAGGTCGAGCTGGTAGCCGAGAGAAAGGCCAGACGAGGCAAAGCTCATACCGGAGTTGGACATGATCAAGGACAGCGGATGGGGTGATTGGGCGTAGCAAATAGTGGAAGACGGAAGGGGCATCAGCTGGTGCTTGTCGGTGGCTGTTCCTCCCTGGGACTGGGACATGTACCTCGCGTTGCGCTCCCCGCAAAGACCCAGAGGAGTGGATGACAGACGACGAGAGCAAGGAGGCCGGGGTCATGTGTAGCGAAGGCGCCATGATTGGGTCATGGTCGAAACCATCAAGCGGCGTCCCCATCGCTCGGCGAAATTTGGTAAAAACCCTCAACAACAATGTTACGTTCGCTCGAATTCGGTGAGCTGCTACGCCTTCTGCTGAGGGTGCCAGATGGGTGACTTGGCCAGTCTCTCCTCATCGGTCACTTCCCACCATGCACTTGTAATTAGTAGATGAATTCTGCGTGCAGGGGAGGCGTTGTGCAAGAGCAGGAGATGAAGTCATCCATCATCCATGGGGGTGGTTGCTACCCCAGGTTTCGTCTGCTCGATCCCCACCCAAGTCCACCCCGCCAGCCATGGCTGGTTTGGATCTCCCGGCCGAGTCGAAAACTAATACCGCATGACGACGTACGTACAGAAAGGCATAGTAGAATGCCAAAATTACCCTACAATGGTATGAAATTTTGGCATGTCAGACAGTGTCAATACCCCACGGTAAATCTCGTGGAAAGGCAACACATAGAAGATATCTGCCATCGATACAACGTGTCTAACGAGTATCCAGAGAACCCATTTGAACAGCATTCATAGAAGCGTCAGAGTAGCAAGCACAAATTCCCAGCTCCAGTTGCAATAATGCGGGCGTACTGGAGACTGAACGATACACTGTCCGGTCCTTGGTTGAGACGCGTTCCAGGCGTGGAAACTCTGCCGACGCGTATCGCGTAGAGCGCATGCAGCACGAGCCACTGGCGACTATTGCATTCGGAAACTGGGATTGTCGTCGTTGACAATACCTGTTCTCAAGTGTCTATTTCGAGCAGCACCCTGTTGGCTGCTGATTCGACTCGCATGGACGACTTGGACCCTTCCCCTCGCGGTTTCAAGCGCAAACGGACAGGGACATATGCGACGAGAAGACGAACATTAGCCTCGTCTCCTGCACAGGCACAAGCCGCGCAAGCGTTTACGACAAAGGGTGCGGCAAAAGCAGAGTCAGAAGCGGCCAAGCAGGTTGTTTACGAGAGTGATGACCCGACAACCGATTTTCCGGCGGTGGAAGAACCTCTTGCGCTAGAAAGCGAGGAACAAGCCCGAACTCCCACTTCACGGAGGAGTAGCGGCGGCAGGCAAACAACAGAAGATGGCTTCTCGGACATAATGGCGAGTGCTGGAACAGCTGGCCGACCTCGCGGGCCGAGAAAGAGCCAGATCGGAGCAAAGCAGACTGCTAGGCCGAAAGACACCAGGGAGGACCAAGCCGAGCCCTTAAGCAGAAGATCAAGTGGCAGGACGAGGCGGCCGGCGCGACGAGCTGGCTCTGCCGTCGACAAATTACCCGAACAGACTCCTTCGACATCGCCAGTAAAGAACCGAGCAGCCACCGGTGCCCTTTCTCCTCAACCAAAAGGTATACTAACCCCTTCGCGACGCGGAGGGGGGCAGAGGAACGGCCCACGAAAGTCTGTGGTGTTTCATGAGGATGTCGACGTGGACGATACAGATGAGAAGCAGATTGAAGACCATTTCGGGTTCAAGGACATCGGCAGTTCGAGAAAGAAGAATGGAAGCCCCAGCACAAAAAGCATCTCGGAAAGTCCTGAGGCCAGAGAAGAAGATGTCTTTGAAGATGCACCGGAATATCAAGATCGGGCACGACAGCATGGCGCCATGGGGGAAGCAGATGATGACTCCATCTCAGATGAGTATCCGGACACGGATGATATCCCTCCGACTTTTCGACCCACTTCGAAGATGGTGCAGGCATACTCGTCTCTGACAGAAGACGAAAACCCTCATCTCACCAGCATAAAGGTCCAGGTCCTCTCCCGTCTCATAAGCCGCAGCCAGACCCCGGATAACCCAGCCAGGGCAATCCCTGCGCATCTGCACCACCAGTACACTACGCTCCATTCCCTGCTCAGTGCGACAGTCACGGCCGGCGAGTCCAATTCTCTGCTGCTGCTCGGCTCGCGGGGCAGTGGGAAGTCCTTCCTCCTCGAAAACGCTCTTGCGGACTTGAGCAAGTCGCACAGTGATGACTTTCACGTTGTCAGATTGAACGGGTTCTTTCAAACCGATGACAAACTTGCATTGAAGGAGATCTGGCACCAGCTGGGGCGAGAGATGGCGGTTCCGGAGGATGAGACGAGCGAAGTGTCGAGCTATGCCGATACGATGGCAAGTCTGTTGAGCCTGTTAAGTCATCCAGAAGAACTGGGGCATTCCGACGTGATGGAAGTTGACGGCGCCTACAATTCACGCGAGCATGGACCAGCAAGGACGTCAAAAAGCATCATTTTCATCATGGACGAGTTCGACCTCTTCACCACCCATCCGCGCCAGACGCTGCTGTACAACCTGTTCGACATTGCGCAAGCGAAAAAGGCGCCGATTGCCGTGATCGGCTGCTCCACGCGTATGGACGTTGTTGACTGCCTGGAGAAGCGTGTGAAGAGCCGGTTTAGCCACCGGTGGCTGCATATCCCTGCGGCGAAAAGCCTCGTGGCGTTTGAGGAGATTGCGAAGGACGTCTTGTGTCTTCCTGTTGAGGGCAAAGAGGCGCTTGGAGTGGCAAAGGAAGAGCGGGATTGGAGGGCAAGGTGGAAAAAATTTATCGAGGTGAGTCTGCCGCGACTAGTCACCCATCGACGAGCTGTGGACTGACCTTACTATCTGCGTAGACTCAATTCCTCCCATCCTCGGACGTCCAATCGATGCTGAAGAGAACCTTTTCCAGTACGAAATCTATTCCCGACGTGCTGGCGGCATTGTATGTTCCCATCGCCACGCTCGCCGTGCCTGCCAACCTCGCGGAACACCCGAAGGCACCCTCCCCAAGCATGACGGACACGACCACCACCGCGCTTCCGTCTCTGCTTGCTCTTCTCCCACATCTTCCCATCCTCCACCTGTCCCTGCTCGTCTCAGCCGCCCGACTCGAAACCATCTACGACGTGATGATCGTAAATTTCACTCTCGTCCACAAACAGTACACGGATCTGTTGACTCGATCGAGACTTCAACGGTCATCACTGTTGTCGTTCAACAAAGGGGGAACTCTGACGGGAGCGGGTTTGAGGACGTGGAACAAGGATACCGCACGTAGTGCGTGGGAGGAGTTGGCACTATGGGAGTTCATCGTCCCGGCTTCCGGCGGTGGTGGCAGATTAGGCGACGAAGGGCTTGGTGGAGATGGTATCGTGACGAGAATGTTCAGGGTCGATGCGACGCTTGATGAAGTCGCCTGGGCAGTCAAGCAGAAGTTGGGTAGCGCTGGTGTGGGCGAGACCTTGTACAAATGGTGTAGAGAAATTTAGGCCTAGTGACAGAGTCACGGGCATTATTGCTACAACCACATCCGGACTGCCACCTTGGATTTGACTATCGTACATTCTTGTGATGTCAGGAAGAAATTGCGGGAACTGAGCGCTGAGGAAGCCCTGACCGATGCTGGCAGAGGTAGTGACAACTACCCATTGCTGAAGGCACCATGTGATGAAGTCACTGCTGGGTGTGCTCTCCTGCATTTCGCCTCACCGTTCCATTCCTTCGGGTCACGAATAGAAACGCCAATGGCTGATATCAGGCACACGGTGTATCCTGGAGCCCAACCATGCAGATCCCACTGTGCAACCAGGCATGAGCTGTTTGAGAACGAGCTCCATAACCCGGCCATACGTCGAAAATCTTTCACCCATCCCAACCTACTTCACCAAATGTCTCAGCTGTCGTTTTTTCCGGGCCACCAAATTGATCAAGTGTGAATCTTGAGGAGTTGAGAAGAATCTTCAAATCACGAACCATGACTCTGAATGCTATAATAACACTTTGTTGCCAAGACGACCAAATTTGTGGCAGAGCCTGGGTCTTGTGGCGAAAAGAGGGCACGCATGGATGTTGACTGTTGCGTAATTGGGCTGGAAGGGGTGTGGAGGAGTTGCAGTTGGGGCTTGCAGAGCACTCAGGCCGATAAAAGCTGCGTTTCCTGTACAGGTTGATAGTCGGCGTATGGTGTGGGCAGAAAGTACAGCTCATCAAGGATCATCTGTGTTCCGTGGAATCAGACCGCCTCGACAGGCGGTCGAGCAGACATGTGGAAACCAGTGATGTCTCGGGCGTGATGACTGTGACCCCCGGCTCATAGGTGAGAGGATTGTGACACAGGGTCTTGTTGCATGTAAGCCATGCTGCCTTTCCCTTTGGACCATGTCGAAGGTGCACGGTTGAAGCAGATGCAATGTGCTGGCGTTTTGGGTCGCCTGCGTCGTCGCTTTAGGCGTCAACCGCAGCTGGCCCAGGCTTCTGGCCAGTCTCTTCGGCCAGATGTCATGTGCACGCAGGGAGGTCGTTCGAAGCCTGTAGCTGATAGGCAGGGTCTTCCGCGGACCAGACCAATTACGAGTTGGTGCAGTGTGCGAGGGAGGAGAGAGACCAGTAAGATCTCCTTCAGGTGACAGGAATCTCATGCAACGTAACCGGTGTCATGGTGAAGAGGTTGGTCGCAGGGGGGTAGGTTGGTTGCTTGCAGGCACACCGTGTTCTTCTTCCGTCTTTGCCGCGCCCTTTCCTGGTACACCATCCACCCACGCGGTTATCTTGCCCTTGTGCTCCAGATGACATGTTCGATTCTGATTTGCCTGGTAGGCGAGGACAGTGCGAGGACGCAGCCGCTTGTGAGGAGGGAGAGTAGGTTGATCTGGGGTCGGAGGCTTGGTCCAGAGGGCACTCGTAGAGAAGGTCGTCGCCATGAACGTCCGCATTCGATTCGACTGACAAGTGGTGTTGAAGACCTGGAATTGACAGCCGTCGCAGACAGTGCCGACTTGGGCGATCCGCAGGACAGGCTGCGTTTCTGGTGCCGGTGCGGTGCCCGTATTAGCTCTTCCCTGCCGGTCCCACAAGCATGGGCACATGGACCATGGATGAGCTGCCGGTGCAGATGCCAGTGCCACCCCCGATCCTCGGTGCCTCCCGTGCCCCGTAAAGCCAGGACCGGGCCATCCAACTCTATTTCGTCTTCACCACCTCCTGCTCTCCAGTTCGTTCACCCTCCGCTATCTTCTTACCTAGGTACTTACCCTTCATCGACTGCTTTGAGCATTCTTTCGTCATGCCCGAGACGGTTTCCTCCATGCTTCGGCGCGTCGGCCATTATGCAAGCGTGATGAGCCCCCAGGAACCGGAGCCGCCGTCACATCTGCGCTCGATGACCTGCCCAGCCTTCTGATGCCGAAAAGCGAAGATGGTCACGGGCACCTAGCTCTCAACGCTCTCTATCCACCTACAATGGAACGGCAGAGGAGCAGAACTCTTCCAATGAGCAATTCTGCCACTGGCGTCCGGCCTCAACGCAACGGTCCAACAGATCGAGGGTATCGACACCTAGGGACTGTTGTTCGGCACTGTCACATGAATGTTGTCGGATACCTCTGGCGCTGCTGTATTCCAAGAACAATGTTCTCCACTGAGCACAGTTTGCTGATTTGTACCCCCTTCCATGATACAGATCCAGGTGTCTTTCTTTCGCGGTGAGATTAGGACGCGTTAGGAACCTGCAATACGACCACGATATTCAATCCTGTCTGCTTTGAAGAACTTGATCAATGGATGCTCGATGGGTCACTGTGTTGCTGTGGCTGTTGGTCTGTGTCGTGTGGTCAGTTGTGCCAGGGGTGAGCGTGGAGCACAACTGACGACCAACCACGGGTTGGAAGCGGCTCTTTGCTGTCCGTACAGCCACTTCACGCCCCGGCGGCGCTCGGCACAGGACATGGAGATCTCTTCCGCCGGCCATTACGTACGAAGACACCGCCAGGGTCGTAATGGCCTCCTTGACTGCTGGTGGGTGCTAGAGTGCCGAGTTCGCCAGACCGTCAATCGGCTAAAGGCACGGGCACATGCCATAACATGCTTGTCTGCGCCGGGATCGTTCTGTGGGCTGAAGGCTCTTGCAGCCAGCTCCGCTTCCGCGACCATTCACAGAAGGGATGGAATGAACAGGATTCGACCTGTCACAAGAATGAATCTCGGATGCTTTATTACTCGTCAGCCATTATCTTCAAGCGCACCCCCGACGAACCGCTGAGGCCTCAACAGGTATCATCGATCAAGAAGCATCCAGAACTACTGCACGATCGTCGGCCCATGCATGGGAACGTTGCTTTGGCGGTCAAAACGCCTCAAGCGATATCCTGAATGACGGCAGACGCAGAAGGGCCTGTAAAGTCGAAGGGGCTGTGCGAGAGGCCAGCACGCCCCTTAAAAAAACTGCCCCGCCCTGCGCTTCTCAGTCCGTCCAAGCTTCAGTTTTCCTTTTGACTGAACATTTCCTCTCCGTCACTTCAAGAGAGGTTGTCGTTGTAAGGATCGAAATTCTGTGAGGCTCTGACTAACACTAGCCTCTTGTTATGGCCAGCTGGAATCGGCTAATGGCCAATGGTCTGTGTCACCAACCCTCATGCACGACAGCATTCGGCGTGGGACGATGTACTTGTACTACCACAAGCTGACTACCTTGACAGCCATTGGAAGCCCCAACGACCGTCGTTTACTCCCCATGGCTAGCAGCCACGGCAACCATTACATTCTATCTGGTGAGACAAACTCCGTTCCGTTGAGTGGTTTTATTCTGGCCCAACGGCGGTACAGGAAATGATACTGAACCACGCGGTGGACTAGACACCGATGATACAAATGCGCTGAGGGCCTCCCGTCGTGGCCGCTACGGGAAGGGTGATGACAAGCCACCTCCGCCAAAGCCTCAGCCAAAACCTTCGGGTCCACTACCTGGCATATCGTGAAGATACGACCCGTGGTTGGTTATGCAGCGCTGCCGGCAGCTGCGAGACATGAAGGAGGCACCGAATCGCGATCAAGTTGCAAAGAATTTGGGTGGATGGCGCCGAGTATATTGATTGTCCGTTCTGAATTTCGGTGCAGCCTATGATGTGAAGACGAGAGTACAGGCTCAAGGCTTAGACCCATGTGAGATAGGACGACACATGGTTCGCGATGTGCATGTTCGAACTACAAATGGTTGTGCAGGTACCATTCCATACTGCAAGTCTAACGCCCTTGTACCAGTATGACAATTTGTTATGGATGCCCAACCACCTCTGCTTTCACCCTCACTCCATTTTCTCCTCCCTCGTTGCATTTTGGACCATTGTCGACGGAGCCCGTCCCGGGCTGGAGCGCCGTGGCAGCACCAGAAGACTTCCGTGGGCAAGTTTGACGTGGGAGACATGACATCTCCGCTTTTCTGCAGCGGATTCAGCAAACCAGCGCCGTGGAAGTCGACCTTGTGCTGCCACCCTGTGTGCTGTTCCAACCCCTCAGGAATTTGTGGGCAGCAGAAGGATGCACTCGCGAATCTTGGTCCCGGGCTGCACAGAGGAGGTACTAAGGGTGCAGAGCGAGGACAGTCGTCCAGGATATGGTGGACCGGCTGAAGAGGATTCCGTGTCTACTTGGTGCGCCGCCAGCACGGTCAATGAAACAATCACCATGACCACACTCGTTTACGCTTGCACCCCTTGCTAGATCAATCGTCAGAATCATAGGCAACAAACCGAGAGGGCAGAAAGGTGTTGGCCAATCAATGCCAGCAGCCGCTGGGGGTTGACACCTGGCATGAGCCCGAACCTGACGAGCCAGGGCCTGCAGTGGACGCATCCTCTTATTGGAGTAGCCATTCGTGCCCAAAGAAAGGCGGGCAATCCTCGTGCGCTGGCGAGTTGGTTATCGGCCAGTCAGAAAGCTGCCGGTGTAGACGGTGCAGGCAGCGCTCGGACACTCAGGCTCTCAGTATGATCAGTATGCGACGATGAAGTGGTAGACGGGACTGCGTCCGAATATTTGGCTTGATTTCATTTTACTGCCGTCACAGTCACTTCACTGTCACCTCACCTCTCAGTCACGCATCCCTCGCCGGAAGAAGCATCCGCTCGGAGAGCACAAAGAGAATGAGCACTCCTTGCACCGTAGACGACTGCACCAATCCAAGCGTACTCTAGATGCCCCCGGTCCCTCATGCACCAGTGGCGGGCAGACAGCAAGCTGAAGCCTGAAGCAGGACCACATCCCGGCAGGATACTGTATCAGCGGTGCCACTTTTGGCGGACTGTCACGAAACTACTGTATGCGGGGAGGGCGACGGGGGTTGCTGCAGCTCTCGGGCAATGGCAATCACATTCACTCCCTTGGCTCATGTGCACAATTGTACCCAGAAACGTGTAGCCCGTACATCCCTAGACTGGAGCATTGCTGTTGAGGGGTGACTCGATGGGGTCGAATCACCAGGTTCCTCGAAGATTCGACCTTCCCACGTAAAAGCTCGCAGTGTTGCTGCAGTGCACGTTGTTATTGGTACCTGTCCCCGAGCTTCCTAGCGGCGATGTGATTGTCCGTTGCGCATTGCCACGATGGGATACGAATATGACCTGTCACTCAGCCTCAGCACCCATGCATCTCCCGTGTCGATGCCTTCCTGCTCTTGCCCTTTTGGCTCTTGATTTGGCTCCACACGCGCTGCACCACTGGAGGAAAGACTGAGCGCGCGATCTCGCACCAGCTGGCGCCTCGTTGCACGTCTGTCTGCCCAAGCTGCTCAAATCACACTGGTCTGGCTGGTGACACCGCAGTTACACAGCATGTTGTGCTCTCTCGCATTGAGCCCAGGTATGTCACTCGATCCCCGACTGGCACGCCGCCCCTCCACACGACCTTCGCAACATTGGCTCGCTGGTGTCGCCTGTCTGCGCTCGCCAATCCTGCGTCCCTCAGCTCTCTAATGGTTCTTTCTTAGGCATTAACTGCCGTGTCCAACCCATTGCCACGTGCTGCGTCTTGAAACAAGTCGTTGTTGCCTTCTCGCCTGCGGAACCGACGGAGGGAACAACCGTCGAAAAGCGTCTCGTCTCGCGAAGCTGTCACCACCCATTGTCCACATGAACCGGGAACTGCCTGCTGACCCTATCTGCCTCATCGCCTTCATCGATCACCGGCCCAATCACAGTGCCACGGCCTTGTCGCACAGATATGACACCTTCATACGGACAGCCGGCCTTTTCTAACGAATAGCAAGCTATGGCACTTTATCTGCCAAAAGAGACGACCACCTGACTCCGCAATTTCTCCATTGCCTGTTGTGCTTTTACGAACCCTCCTGCCATCTCGGTGCCGGAGGAATTTGCAAGGGTGCTCACTGGGTACTTCTGTGCAGTGACAGTCACATCAGAGTCGTTCGTCTCATTCCTGGCTTCAAGCACAGATAGGTTCTCCGACCTGATGGCGGCCGATCGCTCACCGCAGCCTCCCAAGGCGGCGTGGGAGCGTCGAAAGCACATCATCCGGAGATGGTACTTGACCGAAAATCGAACTTGTGAAGACATCCAAAGAACGCTCGAAGCCGATGGCTTCAAAGTGAGCGAGAGGCAAATCAAAAACAGGCTTAGCGAGTGGAAATTCGAGCGCAAGAAGACCCCCTTTCAGCAGTATGTGGCCATGTTGGTGGTCGCCGACTACTACAAGTCTCGCGGCGTGGAAATCGACTTTGAGGTTCCGAAAAGGGAGGAACGGGTGACTTACACCGCCCAGAAGGTCAGGAAAGAATGCGAGAGAGTCAAGAAAAGATACGCTACCCGTGGTCAGCCTTTGGCGCTACCTTCTCTCTCACATGCTCAGGTTCTTCTGGAAGAGAACAAAATCTCGTGGTGTGAGAAGCATTTGATGGTGCGGCCGAATATCGTCGGACAGGACCATCGCTACAACGGGCTTCTGTCGCCGTTGAGCGTACGACCCCAAGAATCACCTGCCGCAAGTTTCTCCCTCGTGGCGGAGAACGAGCCAGTGCCGGTGCGGGATAGCAGATTTCCGGGTAGCCCTAACATTCTGGACCAAGAAAGTTACTCCCCAGTGTCAAGCCTGCCGTCGTGCTCCAGCTGCTCGAAATGGCAAATCCATCTGGAGTCTATGTCATATGAAAACAGTGCACCAATGTGTATCCCGGAAAAGACGGATACGCCGATGACCATACATACGCCAGAGACCATGTATTCGCATACAAGCACCTTTCCTCTGAGACTCAGGCGATCGCATCCAGTTGTGCCCGTCTTCCAGTTCGACCCTTCAACCATGACTTCAAACTTCAGTCCAGATTTCACTCACACGGCCTCAGTACAATGGCCAAGTTTGACGCCTTCACCGCATGCTCCGGTCCTCCGAACCCTTCCGGCTCTGAGAAACCAAAGCCCTGTAGCGAGTCTAGCCGATTTCGACGAAGAGGCCCCGGAATCCTCTACAGCCGTTGTCAAGTGGTCTCGCTCGGAGTTCACCATCTGTAGACGATGCTCACCGCCCCATTCTCATCGGGACTTCGATTTCAATGAATCAATCGACTCTCTGGAGAACAAATTTCCTTTGGTCAGGACCAATTACCTTGATATGCTGGCCTTTTCAGGTAACACAAAGTTTGACGACCACTTGAGTGCCGAACTCCACAAGCTCACTGCCAGCCAGTGGGCCGCGCCTTATTATATGCAATGCTCTTTCAAGGACGTTAGGAGAGACGCACTGGAGCGCAGCAAAGCACACTCAATGAATGCTCTACAGTACGCACTGGAACATAATAATGAGTTCATTCTTCCGGCACTTAGCTGGGTGATATTGGTATTGGGACAAACTGAAAGAAAGCAGCTGCTGGCCCATTTTCTCAGGGATAGCTGCGCCCTCATTGATAAACAGCCCCGGGTGCGACGGAGCTTCACTTACGCCACACCCTTCCGCTATGCCTGGGCCTGGGCGAGAGACGACGAGGAAGACATGAACCGCATCGGCGACGATCTGGAGCGCTCCCACATGCAGATCGGGCAGATCTGGGGCATTGAGCACCCGAACTACTTTGTCAGCGGGTATCTCTTCGCGTGGCATCTGATTCGCAAGGGCGAGTACGACAAAGCGATTCAGATGCTAACCGACAGTCTACCGGTCTGCGAAAGAAGGATGGGTCGACACGATCTGCTAACTGTCAGTTGCCTGGCCGTTGTTTCCCGAGCGCATTCCGAGATCGGGAACCTCCCCTTGGCAGTCGAGTATTGCCAGAGGGCGATGGCGGCGACGGAGTTGCTTGTCGCCGACCAAAATCGCAGCAAAGTCCATCGTCCTGTGTTGCAAAGTTTCAGCTTGGAACTGCTGGAGCGGCGTGCTTCCCTTACGCTCCACCTGCGTGACCACCTCAGTGCAGAGAAACAGATGTGGCGAGTCTTCCACCTCCGTGGTCATCTCGACGGGCTACACAGTGGTGGCACTTGGAGCGCAGCGCAAAAGTTGGGCCCAATGCTCGAGCAAAGAGGATACTCGGCTGCGTGGGAGGAACTCATGGCTTTTATCCGAGGCGGATATCGATGGGAACAACTCAATGCCTGGTATAAAGAGGATGCAAGGACGCGGCAGCCTCCCCCACCACCGCCCACAGCTCCACCTTGCTGGTGGCCATTCCGCAGGAAAGACGGGCAAATGGGGTGTCCCGCATGCCCCGAGGCGGAGCAATTCTACAACTTCTCGACTCGCCGTATCCTCTCGCCTCATCATCTGGATCCATGTTTTGGTATGGTGTTGGATACAGAGTGTTGAAAGCGTCCAAGGGTTCAAACTCCTGTCTCACGTAGTGAGTAGGGCGATTGAACGAGCGTTGAATGTCTATCCTCGTACGGGTATCTCCAATTAATCTCCAGCATTTGTGACAATACCAGTGTGTGAAAGCGTCCGGGATTCTATGGTTGCGACCTTCGTGAAACTCGAAGCCAGCTCCGATATGGGATTCAGCCATGGCCACATGCCGCGCGAAATGGCAGAAATAAGACGGAGTCAGAATCCCCATCACCATTGTTTGAGCCCTGTAGAATCGGGCGTCCCAGTTGCAACGCGAATTTCATTCCACCGACTTTTCATCACTGAGTTGAGCTGTTGCCCAACAGGACGGGTGAAATGGGGTGAAGCTACCACGGACTCGATCTCTCAGGCCATTGATTTTACACGAATCAAGAGGGAACGATTAAAAGGCACGGACAAACCCCTCTCCAGGCCAGCCATCTCTCGTGCGCAACATTCACAAGCGCTCGCCAGCAGTACTGTTCATCGCGTCAGTTGTATCGCACGATGCAGCACGCTCCAAGCAAGTAAGTAAATAGGAAACAGGCAAGCAGGCAGATAGGCAGATAGGCAGATAAATTCTCAGAATATTTGAGAATTACAGTACTTGTCCACTTTCCAAGACCCCAGCAAATCAATGATTGGATTGTCCATGCCTTTTTCCTGGTGTTTCTTCTCATGTCATGTCATGTCTATTAGCGCGCGCGCGCGCTCTCTCTCTTTCTCTCTTTGCCACCATCCCCATCGATCGGAAAGCTCAAGTCGAAAATCAGATCACGTCGATGTGTCGGGCTCAAGTATCATACCGGATATCACGCATACATACATACATACACACATACACGTAGCGTCATGCGATGCGATGCCAGGTCGTGCCCATTCATTGAATATCCGCCTCCTGCTACTCCCAGCTACTCCCAGCCACTCCCGAGTCAAAGTCCAACTCGCATGCGGCATGATCCGAGCTCACGGGTCGAAGATTGTAGACTTGTAGGAGAGAAGATGGCTCTACGGTGCATATATCAGGCGAGGTGAGGTGGGCATTTGGCCGTGCGTAGGATGGTAGCTAGTCCTGAGCTAGTCCTGGGATTGGGATCGGGATTGGGATTGCATATTGGAGAGCTGGAGCATGACCGTGCCGTGACCATGACCGTGGGAGCCCGGCCCCTCAATTACTGTAAGTCGTGTCTATAATGAATTGCGTCTGGAACCCTCTTGGTCGTCGAATTGTCTTCATTACGTATACTCGTCCCCTTGCCACAGAAGGGTCCTGTTCTGGTGCGCCCGACAGCAATCATATAATTTGAGATGTCCCAAAGGGTGTCATTGTATGCGCTGACGTCGCGTCTAGAAATAAGTCGGAGCCAAAATCTAGTCTATGTAGGTGATGTTAGCTGCTCTCTCTTCTTCTCTTTGCTGAAAAGGCTCTATCTGTCCCGGCGTCTCGTCCGCCATCCCTCCAAGATCCTCGGCCGTCCTCCAATAAAGATGAACGACAAGATGGCGGTCAAGCCCGAGATGGACGCGACCACTATATTCATGTTGGCGTACCCTATGCTGTCCCTCAATGTCCCACTCAGAATTGGTCCGATAGTCAGCCCCGCAGAAAACACTAACGAGTTAAACCCGTAGAGCTGAGCGTACGGGCCGTTCTCGCCGAACACACCAGGATTTGCCTTGTCGTACTTTTGGACCACGTCAGAGGCTTCGACGATGGACGGGGATCCGATAATTGCCAGGCCAATCCCATTGAGGGCGAGAAGGGCACAGTACAGAATGATATTCGTCCTGCGGCTGGGGACGATATGTGCGGAAGGAAGTCGGAGGAGGATCAAAGTTGGAACGAGGTAAGCAAACCCTATGACAGCCGCAGGTTTGGTGCCATATCTGTCGACAGCCCATCCAGCGACTGGACCGAGCAAGAGAAACGGGACATCCAACGCGACAAAGAGAAGGCCAGCCTTCAGAGAGTCGAAGTCGAAGAGTGTCTGCGCTTCGGTTGGAAGGGTGGCATCGAATGTCGCAAGTAAGGCGGCCTGAACGAAGGCCAGGAGAAAAGCGACCAGGAGTCGAGCGTCCAATAAACAGTAGAGGATGGGCAGGTTTCGGACTAGTCTGTTTGGACCCTCAGGGATGCGGTAATTTTCTTCCTCATGCTTTGGCAACAGTGGTTCCTCTTCGCTGACACCATCTCTGCTATCTGACTCTTCTTCCCGACTGCCATGCTCGCGTGAGTTCTTTGCGGCGGCCAGGGACTTGTCGTAATGGATGGCGACTTTCTTCTCGATGACGAGTATTCTCATGATGAAGTCGAGACCGAGTAATGCGGCGCCCAGTCCAAAAACCCCGGCGTAGCCGGTCTTCCGGTACAGTACTCCGCCGAGAACGGGAGCCATGAGCTCTCCAACCGATATGATTGAGAAAATCTAACGGGGCTCTCAGTCGAAGTTTGACATAGAGCGGAACGATGACGGCTTACCGATCCAATCACCTTCCCTAGGTTCTCGGGACCAACAGTATCCAAGATCATAGCCAAACCCACAGTCCAAACCACAGCCGCGCTGGTGCCCTGTAGCACCCGGGCAACGACAAGCGTAGGAATGTTCTGACCGAGCGACAACAACAAAGTGGCGGCAAGTAGGGCAGCCAGGCCGCAGAGGAAAGGCATGCGGCGGGACTTGGTTCGATCGGCGATGATCCCCACAGGAATAGAGCAGACGACACTAGCGCCAGCATAAGCAGCAAGAAGCCCGGATACGTAAGATTGGATTTTGTCTTCAGGAAGGCCTATTCGTTCTTGGAGCATGAACGGTAGCACGGGGACGACGAGTCCGTAGAGAAAGAGATCGGTGAATAACCCGATAGCGACTGTTGCTATGATGAAAAGAGTGTTTGCACGCCAGCGTAGCCCTATTGGATGTTTGTTAGACGACATACTGCCGAATGTCTGAGATCGCTAGCGAATGCTTGTGAGTCTGAGTTGCCGGGTACGAGGTATCCCTCAAGGTCAAGAACATGAATTACGCGAGGATGAAGCACACGGGTGTCCAGCTCGTGCCTGCCACGACTATCACGTAAAATTCAATGGAGTCAGGAGCGATGACCTCACAACTGCTCATCCAGGAAGTGACGCGACAAATCGGCTCTGATCGGCTCAGAAACTCCGAACCTTAACATATTCGTATTAGCACTGCGAACACGACCGACCGATTTCTGGCAGAGGAGGTTTTCTATCCTCACCAATATAGAAGCAAACAAGCAGAAAACGGTTGCACACAGGGCTGCAGACCGACCTAGTTCCTTAGGGCCGGCGGTATATCGCATCCGCCATCTTGGTGACCTGCATCATTTCACTAACATCGTGGATTCGAACAATATCGGCTCCACCTTCGATGCTTGCAGTGACTGCGGCAGCAGTTCCATAGCTGCGCTGCGAAGCTTCAGCAACCTCCGTGATATTCCCGACGAAGCCTTTGCGACTCGGTCCCATGAGCCAGGGGTAGTTTTGCAGAACAGACGAGGAGTCTGTGCTTTCCCGCAATTGCCGCAGACTCCGTAAAAGCTCGAGGTTTTGCTCCTGGTTTTTGGCAAAGCCTAACCCCGGGTCGAGGATTACGCGCCACGGAGGAATGCCAGCGTCTAAAGCGGCTTGAAGCCGCGTGGAGAGTTCTCGAGCCACTCCGTGAACAACGCCATCCGGGTAATCAGTTAATCGTGTCATGGTGTGAGGATCGCCTCTCATATGCATGAGAACAACAGTCTTTCCCAGCTCGGCCACCGTTGACAGCATCCGCTCGTCCAATAACCCAGCGGAGACGTCGTTGATGATGTCTGCTCCGGCTAGAATAGTTTCTCGAGCCACATCTGAATGGAAAGTGTCAATACTGATGGCAACTCTCTCAGCTTCGGGCATTTCCCGGATAGCACGAACAATTGGCAGAATGCGTGCCATCTCCTCATCGGGACCAAGGAAATCCGCTCTTGGTCGAGTGCTTTGTCCGCCGATGTCAATGATCGTGGCGCCTGCAGTAATGAATTTGGCCACCGAGGCTCGGATCGTCTGCAAATCTGAATGGATGCCTCCATCCGAGAATGAGTCAGGCGTCAAGTTCAATATAGCCATTACATGAGTCTTGCGAGTTGCGTCCCGAACCCGGATAAGTGGCAAATGCGGGTGCAGGACAGTGACGGGTGACATAGTGGTGTCCTTTTCTGGAAGACTTTGCAGGAATTGGCTTATTGTCCGATTCGAACCGTTCGGAGTGAAGTCTGGCGGTAGATGCTGGTCGGGTAAGATCCTAAGCACGTCAGCTCAGAAACGGGTAATATCGGTCTCACGTACTCTGCTAGAGGTCTGAGCACGAAGTCGCGTTCCAGCATGCTAATATGTGGTACGTGAAGACGAGGATGCTTAATGTAATCCTGATTGTAGAGGACGATGTCCAAGTCAATTGTCCTAGGACCCTTATCAATGGTACGTTTCCGGCCCAGCTCATTCTCAATAGACTGCAGCATATCCAATAGCGTTAAAGGCTCGAGAGTTGTCTCAACCTGGCAGACACCGTTCAAGAAGGGGTCCTGGTCATCGTAGTACATGGGCTTTGTCTCGTATAGTGCGCTGAGCTTAACGATGCGGAGGTTTGGATCTCTCATTCTAGACAGGGCAGCCTCAATGTTTGCGACTCGGTCGCCCAGATTACTACCGAATGCAATGGCCGCCCTGTTTAGTCCATCGGGACTAGGAAGTGGTGTTTTCATGCTTGCTTTAGTCGAGTAAAATTGCCGGCGATGACTTGGAGGACTTCGCTCGCGTTGGCCAGTATTAACCGTGTGTGCAGTGCCTCTTCCAGGGACCAACGGGTTCAGTACCGGACCTGCAGGGTCACTGACCCGGAGGCATGACCAAGGCTTCCCGGCAGCGTAGACACTGGTCCTGGTGTTCACGAATAAAGGGCGGATAGGTGCACGAGTCAAACAGCATCTACTGCTGATACGGCTGGCACGGGTCCCTGGAATGGTGAACATGCGACCCCTTCGAGACTGATCAGTCTCCAGCGACGGTCGAGAATGCCACTGCGAGTTCGAAGAAACGGAAATAGGGTCAGACGTGGAGGAGTAACATTGACACGAAGATACCTTGAACCAGCCTTTCTTACTTTCTTCTTGTCGCTGTAGTAGCATTTCAGTTTCCGAAGTTTGAGCTTGGCAGCTTTGCCGAGTTGGTTCTCCACAACTCCACGAAGCATCAAGCGTGTCAGCGCTACGAGTTGTGCACGGAGTACTCCTTTTTCAAATGCGTCGCAAGCACGAGGTCCTCTCGTACGGCTCATCCGAGCCGAGGATACATCCGAGTATGGTCGCAGCACCAACGACATCTTGTCCAAGACATACGTTAAGACTACCACGATGTGGAGGAAATGTGGAGATCTGGGAGGGATGGGATGCCGTACGCGGGCTGTGCCTCGGTACTTTGCCCTTCAAAGTCGCATCTGAGCCACTACTGCCTTTGGCATGCGCTCGCTCATCCATCTTTACTTCTTCTTTCCTGATTACTTTGCGCTCTCGGTCGTGTCTCCTGTGAAGTTCGAGTATTATATCAGATAGAGACCCCTTCAGTGGTCTTGTTGTTCCGAAGTTCAGAGATATCGTACGATCTCGTCCCAAAACATCCTTCGGATCACATCCCTCTCACTTCTCCCTACAATCGCATTCAGATCCACGTCAAGATGTCTTCCCCTCAGCAGCTCCGGACAACCACCACTGATCTCCTCAAGATCAAGCATCCGGTGCTACTGGCTGGTATGAACGTTGCAGCTGGCCCCAAGCTGGCTGCCGCCGTTACCAACGCGGGAGGCCTTGGTGTCATTGGTGGTGTAAGTCATGAATCAGACAACACGCTGGCCACATATTGATACCATTTTCAGGTCGGCTACACCCCAGACATGCTCCGAGAACAAGTCGCAGAGCTAAAGAGCTATCTGAACGACAAGAACGCTCCCTTCGGTGTTGACCTCCTCCTTCCACAAGTAGGAGGAAGCGCAAGGAAGACAAAGTCAGTGGGACGATACGGTCTGAAGCGCAGGGCTGACACGGTTGCAGCTACGACTATACCAAGGGTAAACTCAATGAGCTGATCGACATCATCATTGACTCCGGTGCAAAGCTCTTTGGTAGGACCTGTCAGAGAGTATGCTTGAAGATGGACATTAATTCTGGATGATAGTCTCGGCCGTCGGTGTCCCTCCCAGAGAGGTCGTTGACAAGCTCCACAAGAATGGCATTCTATACATGGCAAGTCAAATCGGCGGCTTCCCACGGTAGATCTCTGGCTAACGCTGCTGTCCCAGAACATGATCGGTCACGTCAAGCATGTGAAGAAATGCCTCGAGCTTGGCGTCGACTTGATTTGCGCCCAAGGTGGTGAAGGTGGCGGCCACACTGGCGACATCCCCACTTCGATTCTCATCCCAACCGTCGCCAAACTCTGCGCCGAAGCACCCCCTTCGAAGTTCACTGGCAAGCCCGTCCAGTGCATCGCCGCAGGTGGTATGTTCAATGGCCAATCACTGGCTTCCGCTCTCATGCTGGGTGCCTCTGCTGTTTGGGTCGGCACACGTTTCGTGCTGTCTGAGGAGGCTGGTGCTCCCAAAGCACACCAGGAAGCTGTGCGCACTGCTGGCTTTGACGATAACATCAGGACGATCATTTTCACTGGACGGCCATTGCGCGTCAGGAATAACGAGTACATCAGAAACTGGGAGGAGAACAGACAAGCGGAAATTAAGCAGCTGACAGATAAGGGCGTTATCCCTGTAAGTGCCACCCCTGAGATTGGTTACAGCAGAAGGCTAACGATGCGACCTTCAGGTTGAACACGACTTCGAGACAAAGGGCGATGATCTGACGGATGAGGAGATGGAGAACGCCCGTCCCTTCCTGATGGGCAAGGCCGCTGCCGTGGTCAATGAGAAGAAGACCGCCCGCGAGATCGTGGACGAGTTCGTGAATGATGCGGTCAAGGCTCTAACGATCGGTAACTCGTTGATTGTGTCGAAGAGCAAGCTATAGTGGTTGTAGATTGAGACATGAGGAATCTCGCGTGCGTGCGCTTGGACTGTATAGCATGTAGGTTGGATTGACTCGTAGCGTGCGGGATACTGTAGCAATTGCACCTGCCAACCTTCAGCTCGGCATTGAAGATTCCCGCGCCTCGCTCGTGCCATTACCTGCAGTGTAAGGAGCCGAAACACTCGTCTTTGCGATCGAGTTTCCCATTACACTTCATTCGCCTCTGGGAAAGGAGCTACAATTCGCTGAATGAGTGGCGTGTGTGGGAGGCAAAGAAATTGCGAGTTGTGCCTGTAGGCGATTCGCCAACCTTGGCAAACTAAACCGTTTTTGGGGCCAGGTGCAGTGACTGAGATGGAAAATGTGGGAGTTGTTCGTAGTCCAGTAACTTTGCCATCAATCTATCTTCAGACTCTTAACCCGCTGTGAATCTCTGAACCTATTCTACACTTCCAGCGCTAAGATCATCAAAATGTCAAAGACAGCAACGTAAGTCCCGTCTCTCCGTGTCCAAGGGCCGAACAGTCACAACTGCGGCCCGCGCCCAGAATTTCCACTGACCATGCTTTGAAATGTACAGGCGCCCCGATTGGGCCGACGACGTCTCCGACTCTGAACAGATCAACGACCCGTCCGCGCTCCCCGCGCCCGTCACAACCGTCGATAAGAACGGCATCAAAACCACGATCCTATACCGCTTCAACGACCAGGGCCAGAAAGTCAAAGTCACTCGCAAAACCCGCACCACAGTCATCAAGGAGAAACTCAACCCCGTGGTCGCCGAACGCAGAGAGTGGGCCAAGTTTGGTCTCGAGAAGGGGAAACCCAAGGGCCCGCAGCCCGATACCACGTCCGTGGGCGAGAACATCCTGTTCCGACCGTCGAGGGATTGGAAGAATGTGCAGGCTGAAGAGGCCAAGTCCGGCGGCGGCAAGGCCGAGGAGAAGTCGCTGAAGGAGCAGCTTCGGGACAAGAAGGTCAAGTGTCGGATTTGCCAGGGCGAGCATTTCACCGCGAGATGTCCCTTCAAGGATACGATGGCGCCGGCGGATGATGGCGCCAACCCCGTCGCGGATCCGATGGCCGATGACGAAGAGGGCGGGGGCAAGGCAGCCGGTGGGCTGGGCGCCGGCGGCAGCAGCTACGTCCCGCCGCACTTACGAAAGGGCGCGCAGGGCGCGGGCGAGAGGATGGGTGGCAAGTTCGAGAGAGACGACTTGGCTACGTTACGAGTCACCAACGTGAGTCTTCCCCCAATTGCGAGTGGTGGCGCAGCCGTAACATTTATCATGCTGACATCTACGTATCAGGTCTCCGAGATGGCCGAAGAACAAGAACTCCGCGATCTCTTCGAGCGGTTTGGCCGCGTCACGCGCGTCTTCCTCGCCAAAGACAGAGACACCGGTCGTGCAAAGGGCTTCGCCTTTATCAGCTTTGTCGATAGGTCAGATGCTGCCAGGGCGTGCGAGAAGATGGACGGTTTCGGGTATAGGCATTTGATTCTCAGAGTCGAGTTTGCCAAGAGGACAACCTAGTGAGCGCGTGAGGGTGCCGTTGAGTCAGTCTGATGCTCCATGTATGGACACAGGACAATGAGACAATCGAGGAAATGGGGAGAGAGCCGGCGAATATTTGACAGAAACAATGTCTCTGGCGCCTTTTGCCGGGTGCAATCATTTTGGGGATGGACTGAAGTCCCCCAAAAGGGATACGCCTTAAGGGCGCGAACGAGCATCCTGGACCCATGGCATAGGAGAATGCATAGATATGTGACTCATGACGATCAACAGTTGTTCATGCTACTATGACTGCGCAATGGTCTGGGATGCGCTGGCTGTTCCTTCACACATCTAGGCCGGCCTCGAGAACGATTCCAGGCGGCCCCCAGGTCACCTGCGAGGGCGCTGGTGCCTTGTGCCTCCCCCCAGTGGAAGCCTTCACGCTTGGAAATCATGACGAGCGAGATTTTCTGCACCCATCTATTAGGAGACGGGGGCCCAACTGAAACTTGAGTCGTTGGGTGGTGTGCCAGGACAGGAGCAACACTCCTGGTCGTTGTAGGTCTCACTTGTTCATGCAATATGCATTGCCCGGTGATATGAGATTCGACCAACCCTGATGTGATGGCCCTAGGATCATCTGTAAAACGGTTTCAGCCCCGATCCAAGTTTGTCCTGCCTGATGTACATGGTTCGTTGCCGTGCTCATCCTTGCCTGGCAAAACCCAGGTCCTTTGGCTAACGATGCAAGCGGAAACGCTGGCTCCATAGATACCTAGGTAGGAGTGTAAGGCTCATAGATCTCAGACTTGGGAGGGCCTAATTCGTGGCTGCTCGTAGGGTTCCGAAAAGAGCCCAGAAACAGGCAGGGGAACGTATTCTGGAGAACCACTCGAAACTGCTGATCGCCATGTAGGTAGGACGGCCTGTCCGGGCTTTGCTGTTTGGGTCGCGTGGCCTCTGCAGATGGCATACCAAGGTAAAGCGGTGAAGCACGGTAGCGGTGGTGGCGCCCAAAAGACATAGAGAGGATCAGGAGGGGTGATTTTGTGTATTTCTGGAACACTTTACGAATAGTAGGTCATGGTGGTCAAACATGGCTGAACGCGACTGGGCCGATCCACGTACACAACGTGCGGCCTGTCGCCTAAGCATGGTTCTTCTTAAGGCCTGGCAACACCAGATGACAACAGGCTTGCACAAACACGTCAGCTCCGACTTTTCTGCCTAGTGGTGCCCCGGCAAAGCTTGATGTATCAGCGGTGCCGAAGCCTGACATGCCTAGGATCTCAGCAGCAGCATGGAGTAAGACCCTCCGCCCTGGCGCATGGATGCTGAAGTCTCCATGTCAATCATTGTTCTTGCTGATGGCCAGTCGTGTTCAACATAGCCCGAACAGGGAAAGTATTCCAGGACTGCCATTGCCCGACGGCTCTTGAAAAAGGCGATCCCCCCTGGGCAGCTGAGCCAAACATTTTCCTGAGTTTCAGTTCTCCTGTTGGGACCTGCGTCGGGGAAGCTCATCCCGGCGGCAGCGGTTTCTCTTGTCTTGGAAACGATGGCAGGATCATGGTAGGCACGGCGTGGCAGCACCAGCGTCGCTCAGCATCGGCCCCTAAGGTTCAGGTGATCCAGAGATGCGAGCCCATAGTCCAGTGCTAGCATCTGGAAGCATTCCAAATCAGAGTTTGAGCATCTCTTCAGCTAAAATGGTTGGCATCAGAGGCGTTGATGACCACGACCCCAACTCACCCTTGACAGTGTTGACAAACACTGGAGGAGCCTACGATATGGTCACACCGCGGCAGGAGCCCACGGACGAACCGGTGGTCCGAGCTGCAAGAGAGACATTTAGCAGTACCACCTGTCAAGGTCGCAGGATTTGTCAAGGGGCCAACAGAGGCCTGACCAGGGCTTTGCTGGCAAGGGAAGTTCCAGGTTTCTTGCAATGAGGCTGGGGAGCCGTTGAGCGTAGGTAGGCTTGCTTGTGAGTCACGACCATGTGTTTTGGGGTGCAATCTTGAGACGGACGTAGGATTCCCCCACCAATCTATCAAACTTGTAAATTTGGTTGTCTGCTGCATGATCGTCATCTCTGCTCCTGTTATCCCTCGTCGCATCACAGCAGCTGGCGCTGCAAATCCCACGTGCATTTGCCGAAATTTAGGCAGACCATTGTGCGAATGGGAGGAGAAGGCATATGCTGGTGGAGGGTGGTGCAGTTGGCGACTCGGAGTAGGCCCGCAACCAACCGTCGAACCGTGGAAAAGGCCTGATTTCTAGTCTGCGATTTGGTCTTGTCCACAAAGAGGATATTAGCTAGATCTCAGAAACAAGCCTGTCAGTGTCTGGGGCAAATGTATACGTGTGAGCAGAGAATGAGTTGGCCACGGTCACCTGGTAATTAGTCGAGAATAGCGTTCAGCCATCATTCACTGTCACCTCAGCACTGGGCGCTTGAGCTCTCGTTGTTCGCGGTGTGAGGGGCCGTCGAGACCACGTTACGTTCTCAAGGTACATAGAAGGTCAGCGGAACCGTCGGGGCGCGAGAATAGGTGTAGGGGCAACGTTGTTGAAAGGCTGAAGACGACCAGCGTGATGCTGAGGTGGCTGTTCCGCCAACTCTTTCTGAGGAAAGTCGCAACTCCACGCTCCGATTTGTCGGCGTCCTCGTCCTAATCCTCGAATTCGTTTCTCCAATCCTCACTTTCACCTCTCCGCCACATGGCCCCTCTTTGTCTCTTGCTTCGTTGTCTCTCCGGCACCATCACATGCCTTACTGCGTCCTGAGTTGGCACTCAGCTATTTCCGCTGGGTCCAGCTCACCGAGGCCATCTCTATCCGCTTTCGGCAAAGGTTCGAATTCGCCCATTTCAACGCGGCTCCGCCCTTTGCCCGACTTCGAAACCCACCCCATGCCCGATATCGTGAAGTGTGCACGACATACTTACAGATGACAACAGGCTGCGGGCCGCAGCAGTCTCCGGTCTGTGGAAACACCCGTCCGCGGTCCCCATCGAATCAATGGTGTCCATCCGGCTCCATTTGCCGTCGCTGGGATCCTTTCCAGTTAAGCTCCCTTCAGACTTGGTCGAGAGGGTCAGAGACTCGGTCGTGCCCATGAGCCGGTGGAGGGTCAAGGGCCCGTCCGCCGGTTCAGCTTGAGGTTGTGAGGCTACTCCCTGCTGTCCTTCCTTGATTGAAGGGTTACCAGCGAGAATGCACCGAGATTCGCCGGCCGCGCTGGCTGCCCTCGAGGGCTTACTGAAGTTTCCACACGAATTGACGGTGTCTGGCCCACATCTCTCTACCTGGAAGATTTCTTTCTCGCCTGGCTCCTTCCGCGAAGTAGGGGCTACCAGAAGCGCCCTCGACCAGCATCACCCTGGCCCATTCCGGGTCGCTATTGGCTGGTTACCAAGCCGCCCGACGAGCAGTCCTCCCGAAGTCAGCTACCCGTGCTTGACTTTCTCCAGAGTAAGGGACCAGGCTTTTCTGTTGACACCGGCAATGTTTGATCCATTCGAGCAATGAATCCCCTCCATGGAAAATCCTCGACCGGCACATCTTCGCTTCTTATGAGCGTATCGAGGACTAATCCAGTGCGCCACATGGGTTTCTCCTTACTCCGACAACGATCGTAAACAAAGGATGCCAAGGTGGGCCTACTGTTGAGGCAGCATTCCATGCTTAATGCTGAGCAGAGACCTCCTCCGCCACGTGCAACTGGCCCGAAAAGCTGTGGGAGGCCGCGGACAGCCCTCTTCTATTCATCGCGAATATCAGCTGAAACCCATCTCGACAAGGTCTGCGCGTGAATGCATTCTCCATTTCTGCATTCCAGTCCGACTTGATTCGATTCTTCCAAATCCTCCTTTATTTCCCTCTTCCAGGCCATGATTCGGTGGCCAAGCCAATGTTGTGGCAATTTCTGGGCTGAAGCTGGGGCTGCTAAGGAAGGCCGCCTGCAGCACGGTCGGGCGGTCTCAAGGCTCAAAGGTCATGCCCTGAATTGTCATTGGCCTGTCGAATATGCAGCCTTCCTTTGAACAGTCCTTGCCAACGACGTCTGGTTAATCCATACCCTCTCAGGAGACTGAGGCAGAACGTCAGATCTGAACGCTGCGCCGCTGGCTGAGCTAGTCATTTCTGCGTCCGATCGAGGCATTCCGACCTGGAATCCCAGCCTGCCCGATTGGGCCAGGCCAAAGGCTTAAGGCTTGTGTGGAACATCCTGCCGCTTGGTGTTGACTGAGGAAGGCGCGCTCATTTGAACACATTTCTATTCCACTCAGTCGCTCGAAGCCTTTTCTTGATCAGAAAGCTTCTGGTGCTCCATCTTTGACTTTCCGCTGCACTCCTCCCTTTTCCTACCCTTGCGCCCCGTTCAAGTGTCTCTTGACTGCTAAGGGTCCGTCTCGCGAGCGAGGGAGTCGAGATCTAAGCGTCGGTTCGTATGAGGTGTTGCCGCCACTGGTGTGTCGTTCGCCTTCAATCGTAACGGCGCCTGGAGTTCTCATCCTCAGCGCGGATCTTCAGCACGGAGATCGTCTAGAGACAAACGCACAGACGGGAAACAGTTCTGCCATAGCAAAGACGGGCAGAGGGAAAAGTCTTGACGTGGGCGAATGGGCAAACCTGTTCGCGAGTGAATAGAATGTGAGTCCAGGGAAGTCAACGGCACGACATTATAACTGACCAATTGCAGCACAGCCACCAAAAGAAGAAGCTGAAAGAAGCGAACAGTGGTGCCAGCGCTATAGGTGAGTGCAGACTACGCACCCAGCCTGTGTCATTCTGTTAGCTCTGCGGACGCTTGAACATCCGATGAGCTTTTCGATATGAGGTCCAAAATAGTTGCTGACCTTCAGTAGTTGCATCGATCGTCGAGACCTCCGTCAACTCCCTACACGATTTTGCTGACTCTCGCTATTGTCAGGGAGAGAGTCCTGCATCCCATTGGCGGTCTGAAGGGCTCAGCAGAGCAAGCCCAAACCGGGGCACATCCGAGAACAATTGGATTAGTGGACGGCTGAACACGAACCGACTCCTCACGACTGCCAACACGACGGCTCCCTTAGCTCACTTGGGACACCCTATCACGGTGGAAACTCTATTTCCCCTGCGGTGACTCAGCCTTGCCCGTGCATTCAGTGAAAATCATGGATCCCGGTACGTATTTACGTCAAGTTTTGTTTGTTGACAGCCCATGATGTCCGTGGTGTTTGATTCTCAAGGCCCAAGTCTACATAACCATGCTGCGGCTCGGCAATCTGGCATTGATATGCTGTGTGCACATCGACTGCCACATTGGGAGGCCGCTGTGCGCTCGTTGCGCGGCACGGTTGCCACCTACGGGCCTGACCAGGATGCCCCGCTCCGTCCTACGCTGCCTGCCAAATTGGTGCTGAATGGGCAATTGCCCACGAAAGCCCCTCAGCCGCCGATATGCAGGAGGCTTGTGCTAGGCTTTCTTCTCTTTATCAAATCCTGTCCTCGAGAACTCTGTTCATTGCTAGTGGCCACTCCTGACCTGGTTGCAGCACTGCTTCATCAACCGCAACCGTTGCCGTTCGACTTTGCAGACAAATATCTCGGGCAGGGGCGTCCCTTCTCAAATCCAGCCTTCTCTGCCAATGACCTCTCCTTCTCGAGCCGAAGGCCTCAAAGCAACCTGACGAGTGGTACGTCAGGCGTGGCGCTGCCAGCAAACCCCAGTCTCGACTTCAATGGCAATTCGCTGCTGAGCGAAACACCGTGAGTACCCGACTCTCTGCTTGCCCCGCCTGTTTATGTGTCTTGAAGCACCCAATAGCGTCCGCCGGACCGGGAACCTGGTCTCGACGCAAATCGAGAGCCTTGCACCTTTGGGCATCACCAGCGCACAGGAGCATCCACTCCCCAGAGTCGATGATCGTTGCAAAAGGTGGCTGACGATTTCTCGAGCGATTTGGCAATCCGGTGGACCTGCTCCTCCCGTGACTCGGTTGTCGCACCTCTGAGGTGTCACATATAACCCAGAACGAAGCATTCGACCATTTCTGTCTTACTGACGCATTGAGATCTCTTTCAGGTATCACCAGAGCTCACAGCTTCTGCTGAGCCCTCCCGATTCCACGACTGGCTCGGCGAGCACTAGTGGGAATCATACGACCTCTTCCAACGGCTACACCACACTCCCCAAGCCTTTTCCTAGCAATGCGTGCACGTCTGACCATTTCTCGAGCGCACCTCCTTCGCTTCTCTCGTCCAACTGGGCCGGGCCTTCAATGACAGTCATAGACCGTCCCCATCGAGTGTAAGTGCCGTTTCCTTTTCTTCTAGCAATGCAATTACCAGCTTTGTGACAGGTGCTGATTTTTGTTCCACAGCCCTCCATTGTCACCTCCACAGATTTCTCACCCGTACAGTGCGGCAAACGGCATTGGACAAACGTTCAGAGCTATGGAGAGACTGCCACAGTATTCGAATGGTATGCCGCCTCAGATAAGTCCGGGCTCTTTTCCATCAGGGATCAGGTATCCAGCTACTTATCCTCCTCGCATCAATGGTCAATATCCCTTTTCCTTCCCGGATCCAGCTTTTCCAGGTGCGAACATGTCACAAGATAGCCAGAGCTGTGCTGGCCGAGATGGGCCCCCGTTCCATGAAACGAATGTCCTCCATCAGGTGTTGACGCTTCGTGGGCAAAGCCTCGTGCCAGAAATCACCGCCAGCATACAGAAAGGCTTTTTCCAGGTTGACCGCAAGTGGACATGCTACCGTCGAAACTACTTTGCTGTACAATGTGCATTCAACTTCAGAAACAGCATTGCGGAAGCACCACTCTACCTCAACAAGAATGGCTCGGAAGAATTGATTCAAAACTTTGCTGTTTCCATTTCTGCAAAGACTGCAGCAACCAACAATGGTGAGAGCGAAAGTCGGGGCTTGGTCCAGCATACTCCCAAGCGGGAAAAGGCAACAGAGCGCGTACCCGGTCGGCAGCAAATTGCGCCCTCGCACAGCCATGGGTTGGGTCCCAATGGCACATACTCAAGTGCTGGACACATGTACCCAGGCGCGAATCACCTCCATTCCACCAGGGGCAGCTTCGGGTCTTTCGACACTCCGGGAGCCAATTCTCCTCCAACCAACTTCACATTCGAGCGGATTCAATTTCAGAAGGCTACCGCAAACAATGGCAAACGGCGAGCGCAACAACAATACTTCTTGGTGGTTGTGGAGCTTGCCGCCAACATTGGAAGGCAAGGTCACGATGACTGGGTCATCATTGCTACCAAGGAGTCTGACCCTATGGTGGTGCGTGGTCGTTCGCCAGGCCATTACAAGGATAACGGACGCCGAGACAGTCAAGCGAGTATGGATCCCGACTGTGGAAGTGGTCATGGAGCAAGTGCACATACTGGTCCTCTTTCGTCTGGGGCCTTTGGTCATGGCCACCCTTCAGTAGCTTGGGATGGCTATGGGCCAAACAGACATTACGGCGGATCCAACTACCGCCACGCAGGGAACTCTCGCTTCTCACCAGCAAGCGTGGTATCCTCGAACACACAGGGAGGGACGACAACAGACGCTGAGATCAATCCCTCAAACTCACACACGAGGAAATCATCGTTCACCTTGTCCTCCGAAACGTCCGCGCTTACACCACTTTCGGAAGGCAGTGACGACATCATGTTCAGCAGTCTGGACCGTCGCAGTATCAGCCGGAAGAGGCCGTTGGAAACTGATGAGGAAGGGGATTATCTGCGATTTCCATTGCGAGAACCATACACCGATGCCATGTCAGCGCTCCCCGACTTCTCAACTAGGGCATACTCCAAATTGTTGTGCGCGTCATCATGACCGCCAGCTAACGAGGTGGACAGTCATGGATCAAGCATATCTCAATTTTTTACGACACGATATCTCATCAAGACATTATTGACATATATAACGACTTCAACTGAATCCTTGGTCAGCATTTCTGGAATCATGTTGTACGACGGCGAAAGCGCGTTGCACCACGTGGAACACAACAAGGGTTTCACAGCAGCTAGAGATCCCCAATGCATTGCAGGGTGCATAGCGCACCACAGGGCCCACAGAATGAGACCTGGGCCGGGACATGATGGGTTTCATTCATTATACAGTCATTCATTTCACGGTCTAGGAGGAATAGGTATTTACACCACTGCATCAGCGATATACATGCCAAGGTATATATTTCATGGAACAGCTGGAACGGAGTAAGGAACGAGCTTCAAAGGTCAGTGAGTGACTACTGTTAGGCTGATGCATGAGATATGGCCTGGTGACATTGACTTGCGGCTGGATCTGGATAAACTCAAGGGGACGGGAAGTGGGACATCACAGCACGACATGACGATATGACACGGCACATGATCAGCTCGCTACTTGAAGATTTGGACAAGCTTGTTTTCCACCTTGGGGCCTAGGCGTGCGTCGGCAAATGGGAGAGGCACCGACGAGGACCACTGGGAGCGACAAACACTGCTGGATGTGTTGGAGCATGGGACGAGTCGGCTAGGAAAGCAGCAATTGGAGCGGAGGACACACGGCTGGCGGCCCCTTCTGTGACATTTTGAGGTAGCCTCTGCAGGAATCATGTTCATTCTGACACCCCTTCCCGTCCACTAGGACACCAACCCAAGTCTCCATGACGGCTTTCACATGCATGTTGACACCGCTTGCCTTTAGCTGGAGCGGACCCACGACCTGCCCGGGTCGTCCCTGCCCTTGCAGCAAGGAGCTAATCGCGGTTGAACAATGTCCTCGAGATCGGGTTGCACAATCATACACGGGCACCTCCATCGTATCGTGTCCCAATTCGTCTTGTATGTGCTGATCTTAAACAGGTTGGCGCTGCCTCGGCTTGGGCCCGTTGCGAGGCGTGATCGCCTTATGACGCTATCAAGACATGTCAGGAGACGAAGAGAACGGTCTCTAAGCAACTTGCGAGTGTTTGGGCGTCACCTGCCTCTGCATCCCTCGGCCCTTTTCGCCAACAAAGAAGAGTCGACTCCACAAGTCGAGAATGAACTCCCAACAAAGAGCAGAATGTGACGAGTCGACTTGCACTAGAGCCTAGGGGCAGCTTCCCCAACTCCCGACAGGAATGCTGCAGCAGAGCTGGAGGACATGCATGAAGGACAGCTCTCCTGTGGACTCCTGAACGCAAATCCAGCCTCACTTGGCTGGGGTCACTGTGCCCTTGAAACGAGTCAGAGGCCGCCAGGGGGTCGAGCCGTGCGCGATGGCAAGCAAGCCTAGAGTAGCTTACAGGGTGGATGGCAGGTGAAAGGGTGGGCACAGCCTCAGGGCGTAATGGATCCGCAAATAAACATGGATTTCGTGGATGCACAATCTCTCTCTCCCAACCGCCAGCGTGCATCCCGAGCCCAATGCTAGGCCCGCTCCTCGCAGAGGGAGAGGCTCCACAACCTCCTGCACAGGGCTTTGTACGATGTACCTTGACAGTTCAGCTTGCTGAAATGCTGATCGGCCCAAAGATGTGGTGGACTGACATCTCAAAGCCACCAAGCCGCTTGAATCACCCTCCTCACCACAGGCCAGAGACCACAACTCGGAAGCGATTGGCAGCCAAACTTGGTGACAAGCACGCGACTGAAGAACAAAGACCTAGACGCTAACCCAGCCCAGTCGTCCTCCGAGGTTTGGAACTGCACATGTCGCCGCACGTCTGGCATTCACTTCACGGGTTCGACTAGCGCAATGTATTTCTCGCCGGTCCGAGGCAACGCACAAAGGACCTTGGATTGCAGGGGTGGCATCAGCAGGATGGCCATCTGGCAGACCTGGGCGACTAGCCTCCTCGTACCGAAAGGCGGCTTCAAATCACAGTCCTCAGAGCTGGCACAAAGGACTCTTAGCTGCCCCCAGGAACAGGCGATGACACCAATTGACCTGCAGTGGTGACATGGTCGGTGCGTCTGTGTGTGGCTCTCCGCTCCGTCACGACGTGCATGTCACGAGTGGCAGACACGAGAATGGGCTTTGTAAATCCCGCACAAGATCACGGATGCTGTAAGTTACACCAGATTTGTCCGACGGCCTCCCTCCAGATGGAACTCGGCGACTTGGAGCGAATGTCGTCAAAATAGGCAAAGAGCAAGTCACAGCTAGCCCCAAGCCGGGCCCGACACCGACGGCCACAGCGACATGGACGTGGGCGTGTGCATGGGCGCGCGGACGCGGAAGGGGAACCTGCCGCGAGGATCGAGAGCCCCGGCGTACGAATGTCACCATACGCTTTGGGCTAATTAACTGTCATTAGTCCAAACTCTACTCTTCATTCTCGGATACGGGCTTGGCAGACGACCTGGCCGAGGCGGGCGATCTGCTCTCTGCCACGGGTCCCCTGTATCCTTAGAGCCATGACCGCTATGAAGACCGCTCTCCCAGCGGCGAAGTGATCCCCTGGGATGGACGTCGGCTTGAAAGAGGCATGGATATTCAGTCTGCCCGATGGAGACTCCTAGCGCCTCTCCCTCATGATACCGCGAGACCCTGCATGGACGCCGCCGGCTGTGCTGTAGCGACCTATGAGGAACAGGAGCCAGGCTCCAGATGAGTCCAAAGAGACGGGAGCCCACCACCCTCCAGGGCCGAGCAGACAATTTGCTAACTTGGCTACGAGCGCTGAAGATCAGGTGAGGCCAACTTCCGCACCAGACAATCACCATGTCGGTCACTTGAAGCACACCCGCCACGGTCAACAATCACACGAGGACCAGGACCGGGAACAGCCCCACGGAGACACAAATGCCCATCAACCATTACAAGTGCTGCTACGTATCCGCAACCCATTATCTGCACGAGCCGCGTTGACCAGGGATGTTGATTGCCCCGGATGCTTCAGCCGCCGGGAAACGCGCTCTTGACCTGATCGGATCGGCGTCTTTCAAACATGGAATTCAATTTCCTCATGCTGCATCCGATGTTTTTACGAAGGTTTGGTGAAAAACTTGCTCGGCACGAATGGCATTTTGACCACCTCCGCTTTCCTCACGTTTTTGCGCACCTTGACCCCGACCTGCGTGCCCTTTTTGTGGAGGCCGTTCTTGATGTATCCCATGGCGATGTTCTGCCCATCCAAGCTTGGACTGGGAGATCCTGAGGTGATGCGCCCAATGACCTCGTTGTCGTGTTCGAGATCGACGATCTCTGCGCCCTCGCGCGCAGCGGGGCCCTTTTCGATCAGGAGCCCAACTCGTCGCTCCGGCATGCTCTTCGGCGCCGCGAGCTGCTTGTTGATGGTCTCATGGCCGTTGAAGGCGGGGGAGGGGTTTTCCCCGCGGCGAGACTTGCCGACCAACCAGCCCAGAGCTGCCATTGGTGGTGTGATCTGCTCGTTCAGGTCGTGGCCGTACAGGCACATGCCAGCCTCTAACCGCAGCGAGTCTCTCGCCCCGAGCCCCGCCCAGCGGACCTTGGACTGGTCCGCTGTCAGCGCCTTTGCGATGTTGGTGGCCAGGTCGGTCGCGTCTCCATTTTCAGGGGGAATCGAGATCTCAAAGCCATCTTCGCCGGTGTAGCCCGTACGAGTAATGAGGAGAGACGGCGTATTCATGCCTGACTCGGGTAGTGTGAGTTGAACCCACCGACTAGAGCCAAAGTACAGTGTCTCCAGGCTCGTGTCGAGACCTTCATCCTCCGTGTCATGGAAGACGAGGGCTTGCAAGACCTCTGCGGCTTGAGGACCTTGAAGTGCCAACAGCGCGTGGTGGTCAAGGACGTGCCAGTTGATCTTTTCCTTCGAGGCGCCCCGGGCTTTCAAGAAGCTGCCCATCTGCTCGTCGAGGAACTTCAGATCCTTCTCCCGACAGTCGGCATTCGTGACAAAGTAGAACCCATCCTTCCCAATGCGGGAAATCACCGTGTCGTCCACGATCCCGCCTTGCTCATTCAGCAGACATGACAGGGTCGAGCGGTGCTTCTCCAGCTCCTTCAAGGCCGAAGGCGTGACCGTCATCAAGAACTCCTCGGCCAATTCGCCGGAGAGTTTATGCTGGACCATGTGAGAGACGTCGAACAGGCTGGCGTGTTGGCGCGTCCAGAGGTGGGATTCCTTGTGGCTGAGGTCTGGGTACTGCAACGGCATGGAGAAGGACGCGAATGGCACCATTTTGGCATCGAGGGAGACATGCAAGTCGTACAGCGGCGTGCGCTTGAGCTCTTGGCTCGACGCCGTGGAAGATGCATGCCGTACCTGGGGCGAGGGACGCGATCCTCCCACCGTCGGAAAGCTCGGTTTCGGGACGGGTAGCGGGATGGGTATCATTTCTGGTGGGAAGCGACATGTCGGGCGTTGCTGTGATGGCGAGGATGATGTGATAAGAAAGCTCAGCTGCCTTCGCGGGATGGTTGAAGGTCGTTTGCTCGCCCTGCAAGCCGTGACCAGCAGAGGCCTCATTCCTTGACGTGCCGGCATCTTGTTTGCTGTGTCCCCCGCGTCGTGCCGCTCGATTGATCGCAGCTTCTTATCCGCCGGGAGATATGAGGTGATGTGTACCACTCACTTTACGTTGCCTTTGAGCGATTGCCCAGTTTTCTCCTTGCAACCTCGTCTCAACACATCATGAGCTAGCTGTTGAGGACAGCTTTGACCTCGAGCTGAACAACAATTTGTATCGAGTGATTGATTGGTTTGATGTATGCTCTTCCCGTACCTTATCCTGATGTGAAAAGATATCCTCAATCTCGAGAGGCTGGAAAGCCGAGGCGGAGAGGTTTGCGTCTTTCCCGCATTCTCCATCTCACGGCACTGACCAATCCGATCATCTGACGCTGAGCCTCTAGCCTCAGTTAAGCCTAGCGTCCACAAATAAGTCTTGGCACAGTTTGTCGAACTCGCAACTTTTTCGTCTCTCACTGCAGTTCTGTTTCTTTTTCCTTTTTCTTCCACCCATCTCCGCGCTCGAAGGATCGCATTCAAAGCTCACGCACAGCAGATGTCCACCAGCCTCTGCATACCCTCTAGCTTTGGGAGAAAGTCCCCGGACCGCCCTACCTTTCCGCGCCCCCATGTGCGGTTAAGAACGTCAGGACCTGCCGCGAGGCACCGCCATAAAAGCACCATCACTGCGGTTTTTGCCCTCCCAAACCTGCGCCTCCCGCTCTTTCCTCAGGCCCCCCCTGAGCTACAGCCCGCCGACCTTACCGTCGCTTGTATTCCTTGCCTCCGTGCGGGCGGCTGTGTGGTGTCTCACGTCGACGAGAGATTCGTCCTGGAGAGTGGATGAAGATACGAGTCCGCTCTCCGTTACGGGATGTTTTTTTTTCTAATCTTCTCTGAAGCCGAGACGCTTGACCTCACCCCACGGGGGTTTGCGAAGAGATGGCGAGGGTACGTTATGAACAATAACATGATTGGGCGTGTGCTGTCCTGCTTGGGGATTCACCCTGAGGAAGCTACGGAGTGATTTTTGGAGGTTGCGCAATTCGTCATATGTTGAAAGTTATGCGATTGCTCTGGCTGGTGTGGCTGTCTCCCTCTCGGTTGAGCGGGGAGATGGTCGCCCGAGGCCGAGTAACTCGATGGGGCTTATTCTCGAGGCGCGGAGCACATTGTCCACCCTTTTTTTTTTGGGTCTGTAGCTTATGGCAAAGCGGCGACTTCGCGAGAAGTTGCAGATGTCCTGTCGAAGGGACCGGACTCGTCTAATTCGGGGCGTGCGCATGGGCGTCGACAGATAAGCTTCACGTACAGGGAGTCTATGACCTCGTCAGGCCCTTAACTTGAGGTCGCCTCGATGCTGCAAACGCAGTGCAGTGCATGACAGGCAGGACACGAAAAAATACCGTCGGCGGCGGCGGCGGTGGTGGTGAGTGGTTCTCAGATGATGAACTTCCAATCAACATAGAGTCAAGCACTTAGGCCGCCGTGACCTCGAAATGAGCACAGCCGGTCGGTGACGCGAACATGATTGCTTTAGCCCTGATGAGACCACGATGATGCACCGGGCTAGACAGTATGTATGTGTTATCTGAGCCTGGAAAAGAGCAGAACTGCGGTTGGTTGTTGCAGTAGTTTCTTCGCTGTGTGACATGTATATATGGGCGCGCAGAGTTTCTCGCCCGAATGCTACGCTGTTAATCCACCGGCATCGGTATAGGCATGGGCCCTGGCCCTTTCTGCTTCGTTTTCGCCTTTTGTCCGCCTGTATTTGACTGCAGCACATACTGCACAAGATAGACCACGACGTCGCCCACCAGCGCAATCACCGTCGCACAAGCCGTGCTCCACACGTTGATGCTCACCCCCCCGTACGGACACCTAGGAAAGCCCAACAACCACTCCACGTACCACGGGAACCAGCCGCGCGGGTACGTGAACACTGGTGTCTTCGCGTGCCAGAATTGCAGCCCGAAGCGTAAGCCGCTTGTACAGGTCCATCGTATCGCCGTGGCTTTGGTGTCGAAGGAGGCGCGGGCGGAGGATACGGCGGCGGCTGTTGTGGTTTAAAAAACAACACATTAGCAAATCCTCCGGTGCGCAAAAACGTCGAACCCATGCCCGGAGAGCACGGTCCTCGTCGCCGATTGGTGATCGTACCTTTCTTATCATGCTCCTCCAAAGCCTTGTCGTGCTGTCTTCGCAACTTGGCCCATTTTGAGAATTCATCCTGCGCGCTCACGGCGTTCATCTCCCGCTTGAGCCGCACGACTTCCCTGCGCAGGCGGATTTGTTGCTGCATGTCCCTGGACGACTGGAGCGGGAGGCACGTGTAGATCTGCCATAACTACATAAATCCCTTATTGTGAGCGATATCCAATACAGAACGGGGATGACCAGGCAGGTAGAAAGATTGGAATGGACTGGACTGGACAAGGGGGGAAACAAGGTGCCACGCATACATACCAGGTCATTGATGGGTTTTGAACCGATGGTGAGCACGAGGTGGCAGACGAGTTGGATCACGAAGACGGTGATGAGGAGAGAAGGCATGATGGCGCGCATCGACGACCTCTGGGCCTCGCGGTCATGGGTATTTGGCGACCGTGTGAGGTCGAGGTGGAACAGAATTGCGCGAAGTCCACAGAGCGAGTAATTGAGCCCGGACGTAGCACAAACGTGGACCGAATGAATTTCGTGGGGTGAATGAAGCCAGAGTGCAGACAGACTGGGAAGTCGGCGAGTCAGGGATGACGTAGATTCGTGTCTGCTTGACTCGGCATCAAATCGGTCGACTGGTGAAGTACCTCGTCGACCTCCTGCTTTCATGCTTTTGTTCTTGATGTGACTGAGGATACACCTGTCTCGGCGAGCTCGTTGGGTTGTAAATCCAATTGACTGACTACTTCTCCAAGAGCATGTAGAGACATACTAACTCGCCTCGAGGTTTTGGTCCTCTTCAGCGCAAAGTCAAAGACAATGAAAATACGACAAGGCAACCAAGACTAGGGGAAACGATTGATTGTATTCCTCGTCGGCTGTTCGATGACCGTTCCATGACAAGTACTGCGGAAACATCCCGAAGGGAGAAGGGGATCTTCATCTGTGATGAATACCTCTATAACTCCGATTCTCTAATACTGGTCACTTCGATGTGGGTGAGAAGCCAGCTGCCTTCTCTACAGCACGATGAGCAGCCTCTCTCCCAGCTCCCTTCCGAGCGGCCGCCTCGCTATTATATCTGAAACTACGGAGGCTGGAAGGTGTCCGGAGCCATGTTCGCCATGTTGTCCAGATATCCGCTGTCATGGGCCAGTTTTTGGTCTGTGGTGAGGGATCGGGGTCCTTCCGAGGTCGAGTTGGGATCCGGGCTTGAATCGAGTATCTTCGGTGGAAAAAAGCCAGCAGGTGATCTCTTTCCAATGTTGGATTGGAGTCACTCGGTATGTAGGAATAGCATGGATGCAAGGTCCGTGGTTCAGTACGAATTAATACAGATCCAGGCAAACAATAGATCCTGAGTACATGGCAGCGTCTCAATGGCAGCGATAAACATTACCTCGTTGATCGAGTGTTGACGACCAAGAATTGAAGGTTGCGACAAGCGGGCATGCGATCAACGCACTTGCCTCGGTGGCGCTTCTCGAGGAGCATAACCCCTTGGGTACCACGGTGGGAAAGACAGTCTCTGAGACAGTAAATCCTTTGCTTGGGTCTTTTCTTCGTTCTCGAACACTTGAACATTGGCGTCAACTGTAGCACTCGCATATAGCACGGACAAAGAGAGATTGTAATTCGATCAGGGAATCTCGGCGCAAAAGGTCGTCACCTCTTCGACACCCGCCAGTACTGCTAGAAGATCTCTCGACTGACTGAAGAGCTACCGGAGACAATGGTTTATTTTATGCTTTATCGAGTATCATTCCAACTCGGGAGTCAGCTCAGAACAAAGGGGTCATCACACACACATGCGCATGCGTCGCATCATCCTGGCCCAAAATCCCCGGTCGTCAGGATAGGAAGATGGCATACACCATCCTCCGTCTACTTGTGCAATGTCCATCTAGGACTTGACAGTATCCCAACCTACCCAAGTCCGCGGCATGACCCTCCAAACCATCACTTCGCCACTCTTCAAGTCGCCCACCTTGAAGCTCTCCTCTCGCACCTTCGGCTTTTTGCCCTTTTCCAAATCCCTTCCTTGTTCCCACGCCCTGATTTTCTTTTTCGTCCCGTCCCAGTCGATCACCACGGCGACGTGTTCTGGTTTGCCCACATCGAGACTGTATTTTTGGTGCAAGCTACCCTTGTGGCCCGAGAATTTGGCGTTGCGGAAGGTGACAATGTCACCCGGGCGGATCTCGTCAAATTGCTGCGTGGAGGCATTGCCTAGATTCGCGTATACGAGGGCACCGTACGCGCGTGTGCCGATGGGAAGAAGTGCTGTCGTGTGAGGCTTCATAAGTTCGAGCACGAACCCCCGTGCAGAGCCATCGGCCACAGTGGTCCCGGCAAGGCCACTGGCGACTCTTGCCATCTGCTTCCCATACTGTTCTGAGGCGGTCTCGAGCTGGTCTCGCCGAGGGGCTGGCGGCGGTCGCTCATGATTCTGCTCGAGCGTGACGTGCATGGGGTCGGCGGATTCATAGCTGGCGTTGATGGTCGTTTGAGAGTAGTCCATGTAAAGCACGTAGACGTCCTTGGAGATAGTTGTTCTGCCTCCACGCTTAGTGGAGGAATTCGCTTCCATTTCATATAGAATATCTGGCCTGCCTTGTAATGAAGGTGGCAGCAGGTTGTCCTGTGTCCACCAGAGCGATTTTTTCCCCAGGTCAATGTCCGAAGCAATGAAGCCCTGCTCACTGCCCCGAGAATGATCCATTGAGCGACGAGAAAGTGTGCCGGATCTTTTCAGGTCAGCAGGCGCTTCCGGGGAACCACCGGTGGGAGGCGGAGGAGCCAAGCTGGAGGGTGGGATATATTCAGGTCGCTCCGGTGGCGGCGGCGGAGGGGCCGGCCTCTCCGCAGGCGGTGGTGGTGGAGCATGGGCTGCCTCATCTCCGCCATACATATCTCCCTCTTCAAGTTCCTCCTTGGGGGACTGCAACGTTGTGGAATAGGCTGCTCTGGCAACGGGTATGGGTGGGGCGTGCATGGGCGCAGAGTAGTTATAGTTATGTGGATCATACTCCTCATTTTCAGGAGTCTTGGGTGCAGGTACTGGTGGCGGAGCCGCACGTGGAGCGTCGACAGACTTCCTTGACTTTGGTGTTTGCACAGACGGTGGCGGAGGTGGTACGTCTTGAGGTATACTGACCGGCGGCAAAGGAGGTGCATTTCGAGCAGGCGGGCTCTTTGGTGATTTAACATCATCAGTAAGCATTCCTTCGTCCAGACTCGAGTCCCGATTGTGAGCTCTCAACGCATCCTTGTGCTTCGCGTCAGAGGCGATATCAGTATCATAATCCCCTTCGTACTCGGTGACTTCCTCTTCATCCTCCAAATTAGTCTTTGGAGAATGGACACTGCGGAAGGCTCCTGAATCCGTTGTTGAACGGCGACTTGGAGGTGCGCCTGGTGGAGGAGGCGGAGGAGCTCTTGTAACAGGCGAGGCTGGACTAATCGGAACTGGAGGAGGCAATCTGGACGCCCGTTTCTCGCTGGGAGGATAGATAGCCTCTTCAGCTGTGTCCAGCTTTGGAGGCTCGGGTTGTCTGGTTGGTGGGAGCGGTGGAACAGCTGGAGGGCTAGCTAGACTGTCGGCAGCTTGACGGTCGTTGTCCTCGGTATCCCCTGGTTCCTCGCTTTCTTCGTAGCCAGACGTGTCCGGAGCGGCTTCAGGTAATGAGGACGGTAGTGGAGGGATTGGTCGCGCTATGAGAGTCAGCAATGCCCCCGAGGCTTGAGAACTTTACATACAGGTGGGCGATTGAGGGACGGGCGGAGCTGCCCTTGGCCCAGTAGGCGGAGGCGGGGGTGCGGGCCTTGTGTCACGCGGTGGTGGTGGTGGTGGTGGAGCAGCTCGATCTTTGAGACGTTAGTAGACATATACACGGTGCCCAGTTCACTGGACATACCTTGAGGCACGGGAGGGGCGGTTCGATCTGTGGAACGGCGTTGCAAAGGTTGCGGGGAAACATAATCATCAGATTCGCTGGGGACGGCTGGTGCTTGAGGTGTGGGCTGTGCGGTGTCATTGTCGTCGTCGTCTTTCGGAGAAGCTGATACCTCTTCTGGGCGTCTGGGTAGCGACTGTGCCATGCCCGGTAGCGCCATGATTGGAATTGGAGCAGCTCGTTCTTGAGGTTGCTCTTGAGCATGGCTTTCCGTTGCCTGCCGGGAGCCTTCTGAAGACTTTGGTTTTCTGCCTGCACCAGGTAGGCCTACTCCCCCTGGAGGACCGAACATACCCATCATGCCCATCCCTCCGCTCATCTTGGCCATTCTCTCTCTCAGTTCCCTTCTGCGGCGAATCTCCGGGTCTTCTTCCTCTGATTCCTCCTCCTCATCTTCGTCATCTTCAGCCTTTTGTTCTTGTGGCGTTGGCTTTTGCGGCGCAGCTGCTGGAACTGGTAGATCTGTGCCTTTCGACTTTGGTCGCTCTTCTTCCGTAGAGGTCTCCTGCATATCGTCTTCGTCCGCGGCACCCGAATCGTCGGCATCATTGGTATCGCTGACGAGCTCTCGAGATGGTTGAGGCTGTGGCGTCCCCAGACCTGTCGTTCGACGTGAAGGTGGAGCAGGCTCGGGCTCGTGCTCGCCTTCAGCAAGTTCAGCCGATGGCCGGCTCACTGTCTCGTTCGAGTCCAGTCTTATAAGACCCGGTGCAGTTTGCGGGACCTGTTCACCAGACTCGGCGGTCTCAACTCTCTTCTTGGGTGGTTTCTTTGGCTTCTCCTTCTTTTCAGCATTTCGAGCCGCCTGTTCCAATTGCTGTTTCTGCAGGAGGGCTATCCTTTCTTTGAGACTTTGTGGTTTCGGTTGGTCTTCGGCGTCGGGCTCAGACGGCGCTGCCGCCTCAACAGGCTCCCTGGATTCGGGCTCATTTACGCTAGGATCTTCCTCGCGTTTATAGGGCTTTGAAATGGGGGGTTCTCGTGGTGGAGGAACATAGGCGTTCCTGCTGGGCGGAGGCGCAACAAACGGTTTCTTGATGAAGCCAGTGCTCGGGCCCCCTCCTCCGGGCTTGAATGGTGCCACTGGCGCTGCAGCCGGTCTGTTGAACGCAGCAATCCTGTCCTTAAAAGAACTCGAAGTTGGTTTCTCCGCGACTGGAGGGGGAGCCTTCGTCGAAGGAGCGGAAGACGGTCCAGAGGCAGGCGCAGCGGCAGCAGCTGGCTGGGGCTTTGGAGCTGGCGGAGGGGCCTCGGGTTCTGATCTAGCTTGCTCCGGTGGCTCCCTTGTAGGTTCCTTCTCTTCCGCGTGCACAGCTTCTGGAGTGTCGTCCGTCGGAGGTGCTGGTTGAGAAGGTGCGGGCTCAGGGACGTTCACCGATGGTTCTGGAGCAGGAGCACGCTTCGGGGCACGCACGGGTCGTGAAGGGATTGCCGGTTCATACTTTTCGACAAAATTCCTAGGGAATATGCCCTCGAGCTTCTCTCCACTGGGGCTCACAAATTCCCCGGTGAACCAGTCTGCGTCCTCGTCCTCTGTGACTGTGATTATCTGCCCATTGTCGAAACTGAGGTCGTCGGGCTCCTGCGACTTGTATTCATAGATGGCCTTGACTTTGAAAGGCACCGTAGGCATGTTGGCTCGTATCTAGAGGCTTTCGCGGCGCGATGGAGCCGAGTTTGTGCAAAGAGTCGAAGCTGCAATGATCTTACTTCCCGCAGACGGTGACGCAGCGCCTGCGCCACCCTTGCCCAACGCTCCGGTGCCAAGGTCAGAAATGATTGACCGTGAGACTCTTGATCACCTGAACATCGGCCTGAAGGTATTGCAGAGGAAGAAAATGACTAGCTGGCGGGTGCGGTCCACGGAGGAGTAAGAGTGTGCTGTGTAGCAACGTGGGGCATTTGGCCCTTTGCTGCAACTACCCGGTAACCTGTCCACTTAGCCTGGTTACTTACTTAATCAGACCAGGCTGCGTTCGGTGACAAGTTCGAGATATTCGCCGTGAAACCGTGTACACTTGCATCATCCTCTGTGCGACCGGTCAAAGATACCCGCGGGCGACTATCGCGATTCTCACAATTTTCCAAGGCAAAATTCTAATTTCCGCAGAGACTGTTCGTGGCTACAAGCGGGTGAAGGCGCCCTGGGAGTATGGCGCAACATGGCCACAGAGAAATCTAAGTCAACTGACCAGGCTCGCGTTCGTGCCACTGCCTTGCGCCAAGCCAAGGACATCGAAGACAGAAAGAAACTGCAGACTCGCATAGCCGACCTCGTCGTGGAGGCTTTTGATCTTCCTTCCAGATCCGATGCTGACCCGGCCAACCCAGACCCCGCAGACGCTTCGTTGTTCAGACACTGTCTGAGCCTGTTCCAAGCCTCTGACCTTGATGATCTCATCTACGAACGAAACGTAGACAACCGATGTGGCTACGCTCTTTGTTCGAGACCTAACCAGAAACTGGCGCATGGCGGCGAGAAGGTCTGGAACCGGAAAGGTGGCAAGGACTTCAAACTCATCAACAGAACCGAGCTGGAAAAGTGGTGCTCAAAGTCTTGCCAAGAGAGGACTGCTTTTGTGCGAGCCCAACTGGGAACGGAGCCGGCGTGGCTTCGGATTATTAGGGCTGTTGACATCAAGCTGCTCGATGAACTTGACGCTGACAGTCTGACCAAGTCTTTCAAGGTAGATCCTGGATCTGAATGCCGGCCCATGTCGTTAGGAAAGTAGCTGACCACGTCTAGACGCTAGCGATAGCGAGAGCCGACGATGACGAGATGGCTAGGAAGATGCAAGCCCTCGCACTGGAGCGCGGCGAGCTTGATGTCAAATCCGACGACAGCTCTGTTAATGTGACGGAGAGATCAACTGACATGATCCCCGAAGCTCCAACCTTGCAAGGAAGCCATCGAGAAGGTGTTGTTGAAGGCCATGCACCACGAAAGGTGCATTTTTCGGGGAAGTGACACAGTCGCCCGCACTGACCCAAGCAATATCGACGTGCTGGTTTTGCTGAAGATTCAGGAGCCATACCGACTGCTACTGGGCAATGTTGCAGGGAGGATGAAAGATTCAACCGCACGGTGCAGCCTTGATTTGAGCATTCTGCTCTTCTGCCAGTCCAGTATGGGCTGATAGCAGTCACCACTCTCGGTTCATAAGCAGATAAGAGCAGTTGCATAAGTGCAGAGGATCAGTACAAATCGATAGCCGCGCGTTCCGATCGAGCGACATTCATGGAGAGGCTTGAGGACAGGAAGAAGTATGGCTGCTGGCATGAACGATATCGTGCGCCATTTTGACCTCGCTGCATCGAGTATTCCTCTTCATGTCTGCTTATTATCGTCCAAAAGCGAAATATGCTCTTTCAAGAGGTTCCCTCTGGTATTCCCATGCCAACCAATCGCTTCTTGTGGTAGGTAACAGTCCCATACTGTTCACTTTGTAGATGCCCAAGGCAAGTAGCAGACACTGCATCACAATGTACAACGCCTTGACGCCGAGCATCTGCGTGCGATTGCCAGGGCTCTCGAATCTTGCGAATTGTGTGTTTGTCTGGGATATCGCCTGGATAGGGTTCTTGAATCTGTCCCGGGGTTAGGACCGCGGTCGTGGGCGTAGACACGTCGAGCTTACAGCATGAAGACCATCATGATTGAGAATATCTGAAGGGAGTTCCCGGACATGTAGCCCATAATAGCTTGCATGGGGAGTTGTTTGGCGGGGCCGAGTGCGACTTCCCAGGCTTTCTTCAGCTTCAATGTCTCTGTCTCTTCCGGCGTTGGGGGTTTGCGTCCAGTCCCTTGTGATTTCTGTCAGACGGTTAGCAGACTGCGATGGATGTTGCTTCGAAACAGCGTGCCTGTTTTCCTGTGAGTGCCTTTGAGCTTGAGTAACCCGGGGGATCTGGGATGCTGGCAGCATTCCTCGGCTTTGCGGGGACTCCGTTATTCAGATCGAGGACCCATTTTGGCGGTGGAGGGACCATGTTGCCTGATTTGTACAGCTTGATGTTTCCAATACTCGGCATCAAGAGAGAGACCGCTACCAGGACAGAACACGCAGGACAGTGCCAGTCGTTGCACAATCGGCCGGAAAATTGTAAGTTCCGAAGCCCTTGGCGTGAGCGTGAGCGGCCTCGTCGTGGGTGCGAGGCTATTCAAGCCTCCTTCCCTTACATCCGCTTTCAGGAGTCTGATATTGCACAAGTTCACCTGAGGGCGGCATTGTTTCCTCTTTATTATAGCAACTATTTGCCCCTCTTGAAGCAACCGTCCCATTGCCATGCGGTGACGCGAGACACGATCCGCTGGTCCCAACAGCACGATACGCATATTCAGGACTGAAACCGGGGCCCCGAACTCAACCAGGTGTAAGACGGAACAGCAAGAATGTCGTCCGGCCACGGAGATGCGAAGCTCTTTGCCAGGGTAAGTCGTCTCTCTGTTCCCTTTCTACCTCGATGGTATTCTCAGCAGTTCTTGCCGTTTGCATCGCACGTTCTAGGCTGTCGTCCCCCTTCCAGACTGCCACCATTCCTGATGTAGTGCATGGTTGTTCCCGCGTTGGAATCCCGCGGATGATATCAAATACCCCAATGAAGTTTCACACATCCCACTTCTATCAGACATCATCACGAATGTGGAATACACGAAAGGCAGAACACCATCCGGTCGTATTCTGCAATGGCCTTGGCCGACTAACACGGACTTGTGGCTTACCCGGATACATAGGGCAAAGTTGCTGAGCTACGAGCAGAGCTCGCAAATGCGGGCAAGAAGGACAAAAACCACGCAAGCAAGAAGAATGCTCTGAAGAAAATCGTCGCAAACATGACCATGAGCAACAATGACATGGTCGCACTTTTTCCGGATATCGTGGCTTGCATGGAAATACCCGTGCTTGAGATCAAGAAGATGTAGGGTCAAGTCTTGTCATGTCGGTTGCAGCTAACGAGTATATCAGGTGCTTCTTGTATCTCCAACATTACGCAAGAACCAAGCCGGATGTTGCTTTACGGGCATTGCCAGTTCTGCAAGAGGTACGTCCATCTTGTTGCGTTGCTGGCTATTCTGATTTGTGATCACCAGGACTTGCAAGATCCGAATCCTCTAATACGAGCGCTCGCCTTACGCACGATCTCCTACGTCCATGTTCGAGAATTCGTCGAAGGGACTGTTGCGCCACTGAAAAAACTCATGGGAGATCAAGACCCTTATGTGCGAAAGACCGCTGCTGTAACGGTGGCAAAGATCTACGACCACGACAAGCGCCTCGTTGAAGGCTCAGACCTCATCGACAGGCTCAACAGGATGTTGAAGGACGAAAATCCCACCGTTGTGGCAAGCGCTCTTTCCGCTCTACAAGACATCTGGGAGCGAAGTGAGAACATCAAGTTGACTATCGATTATGCCAGCGCATCGAAAATTGTCTCAATCCTGCCCGACTGCAACGAGTGGTCACAGACGTATATTCTCGAATCACTAATATCTTACGTCCCGCACGATTCAGGAGAAGCTCTCTTGCTGGCAGAAAGAATCGCATCCCGGCTCTCGCATTCGAACTCAGCCGTGGCGCTCACCTGCATTAGAGTCATTATGTACCTGATGAACTACATTGCCGATCAGAAAAAGGTTGATGAACTCGCGCGCAAGCTATCTCCTCCTCTAATCACACTTCTCTCGAAACCACCTGAGATACAGTACCTTGCCCTCCGAAATGCCATACTCATCCTCCAACAACGGCCAGAGGTTCTGCAAAACGACATCCGGGTCTTCTTCTGCAAATACAACGATCCTATATATGTTAAGGTCACAAAGCTCGAGTTGATATTCATGCTCGCAAATAAGAACAATATCGGAGTCGTCCTCAATGAGCTGCGAGAATATGCGACAGAAATCGATGTCCAATTCGTACGCAAGGCTGTTCGAGCAATCGGAAAGCTGGCCATTAAGATCGAGCCAGCAGCCCGACAATGCATCGAAAGCTTGCTTGAGCTTGTCAACGCTAAGATACCTTATATTGTCCAGGAGGCAACCGTGGTCATTAAGAACATTTTCCGCAAATATCCCAACCAGTACGAATCGGTCATCTCGACCGTCATCGGCCAAATCGATGAGCTCGATGAGCCCGAAGCCAAAGCGGCCATTATCTGGATCATAGGGGAGTATGCAGATCGCATTGATAACGCCGACGCCCTGCTCCAAGACTACTTGTCCACCTTTCATGAAGAGCCGGTCGAGGTTCAACTTGCTCTCTTGACGGCAACTGTCAAGCTGTTCCTGCACCGACCAACCAAGGGATCCTCGATTGTTCCGCAGGTGCTAAAATGGTGTACGGAAGAGTCGGACGATCCCGACCTACGTGATCGAGGGTTCATGTACTGGCGCCTGCTCTCCACGGATCCGGCAACTGCCAAGAAAGTGGTCATGGGTACCAAGCCACCCATCACGGCCGAGAGCGAAAAGTTGGATCCGAATACCCTAGAAGAGCTGTGCCTAGGCATCGGTACCCTTGCAACCATTTACCTAAAACCGGTACAACAAGTCTTCCGCTCCGCCCGACCACGTCGCCTCGCGGAGTCACCTGCTCTCCAACGCAAAAAGGAAGACTTAAATCGCGCAATGACAGGCATGGACCTCGCCAACCCGCTATCTTTAAATACAGCGGCCATGTCACCCGGGGGTACCACTGTGCAAAACCACCAGGCGGCAGTCGCAGCTGCGGACGAATACTTCAAGAATCTCAGCTTGAGTGACAATAGCGCCGGGGACATCCTGATGAGCCCGACAAATGGCGGCGGGTTGGGGAATCCATACATCGTCAGCCAGAACGCGCCACAACACAGTTTCCACCCACAGACAAGTGTTGCAAATGACAAGGATCTTCTGTATTAGGAATGCGACGAAGACGTGATAGCATAGCGATGGGTGTTCGGCCGAGAGTGGAAAGGTAGCGTCGGTAGATGAACTCCTAGTAGTCTTGTTTCACCTGATTGTTGATATTCGCTTACATTGGGTTGGGGCAACTCTTCTATTTTCTCCAGGTGACAACTTTGTCCAGCAGGATGAGCAGGATGAGCAGGATGTCTGCATATCTCTACGGAGAGAGATCACACCAAAGGATTATCGGCTGCCGCTTCATACGATGTGGCCGCTTCATTTTCAAGTTCGGAACAACTCACGACAGCCTACATTTGCACAGACCTCATGACGGCCGCCACGACGAGGCTGAACCTCGTGCCTCACCAAAGCCGCGTTCCAACGCCATTGACTTTGGCATACCACGCTGGATCACATCCTTCCTCCACTGCAAGACCGCCCACGTAGAGTTCCTTGAAATTGTGAACGTGGAGTTCCCGTACTCCAAAGCGAACAGCGCCAGCTTCGAGCCTGGCTTCGGCCCTGACAGACCTGTCTTGAAAACGACCACTCTGTCCGAGACGTAATGTCCAGCGACAGGAGTCGTCGACACTGGCGTACAGAGAAGATTGCGATGATGATGTTACAGAGAGACGCTGAAGCCACAGCTGTAGCGCACTGAGAAGCCACCTAGTCTGTGATTTCTGGAAATTGCATAGATTCACCTGATCGGAGTACAAGGCTGCTGAAGAGCTGGAGGTACTTACACACCTCGAAGGTGTACGTACTGTTAATCAGGTCCCCGTGATTGTCGGGAACCTCGGTCAAACTTTATTCCCTCCGAGCTCGGTGCCATTGATATCATAATCTATCTGGCTGTCGCTGACTTAATGTTCCGATCAAACCACCCATGAATTAGTCCCGCGCATTTCAACAGTTATCCCTTTATCGCGTCCTAGGAAGCGCTCTCGACCCGTCCACCTGAAAGTCCCCCGCCCCGCGCCATCTGCGCAAAGCGACCATCTCTTAGCAACCTAGTAATCGGCCTTTTTCACATTTCCAATCCTCGCAATGGCATCGTCCGCCGAAGAAGAAGCCACCATCTCCATCCCCAGCCTCGCCTTCGTGGCCGTGCTGGGCTACTTTATATACCGATATTTCTTCTCCTCCTCGTCCACAAGTTCCGACTCGTCGGCGACGTCCTCTTCTACGTCGAGAGGCACGACGCCCGGGATCCGCTTCACCCCGGCGCAAGTCGATCAGATATCGCAGATGTTTCCGCAGCTGAGCAGACGGGACATCATGTGGGATTTGCACCGGAACCGGGGGAGCGTGCAGGCTACGACGGAAAGGGTGTTGATGGGTCGGGGACTGGATCCCGTAAGTTTCAACTATCGAGTGAGGGATCGATTGTCCAAGGACGAGATGCTGATAGCACTACAGGCACCGCCGTCGTTCCAACCGCCTCCCTCGTTCATGACCACGCCGTCTGACTCAACGGCAACGACTGTTCAAACAACAGCGTCAAAATCTCTTCCTCCCGATTTGATCACGCGATATAATTTACAGACGAAGATCAACTCAAAGGGCAAAGAGAAGGAGGAGGAGTCTCCCCCACCGGGCTGGGCAAGCAATAAAGATGCCCGGCAAAAGATGTTGCAGAGGCGGCGCGACGAGATGATTCTCGCGGCGAGGAGGAAGTTGCAGGAGAAGGAGGCGGATGCGGATGCCGATGCGGATGCCGAAGTCGTGCGGCCATCGTGATATCCCTCTTCTTTAAGCGCTGGCGTCGAGCACGGCCCGAATTGCTTGCGAGGGCTCTGGTCTTGCTGGTTTCATGTCTGAATTGCATTGGGACGGAATATCATGCATTATGTGTTTCTCATACTCGGTCAGGTCATGTCGTCGTCCTCGTCGTCGTCGTTAAATCTCTGGTTGTCCCGCTCTGCTTCCTCGCGCTCCCGGCGCTCCTGTTCTCTACTCGCATCAAGTTTACGCAACCCATCCACCACTCCAGCCATGAATCCTCTGGACTCGGAGACTTCCATGGCGCCTACTCCGTCCAGGCGGGTGCCTTCCCCGTCTCCTGACAGACGCTCTGCCTGCTTCCGCATCTTCGCGAGCCGCACTTCGCGTATGTCCCTCAGCAATTGCCGTACTTTATCTGACTCGGGGATATCATCGCTCGCAGCTTCCAAGAGTATCTCCGACACCTCAAACCAATGATATGGGAGTGCAGTCGGGACAGCATTCACCGTACATGACTCTACAAATGGCGGGCTCGTGTAGAATGCCCTTCCTGAGTAGTCTGTCTGTCGCTGGGCTGATATCGATGGCGGAGGAGAAAATGACTCTGTGAAATCCTTGTGTGTCTCGGTCTCGAGGATGTCTTGAAGGCTCTCCACCAAGAGCCAGGGCGGGGTCATAACGTTTGCGCGACGTTGCCGTTTAAGAAGGACGGCGAGCCAAAGAGGGAGTGTAGTTCGCTGGGGCGGGATAAGAGGTCGAGTGGGGCCCTACCAACCAGCGAGGTGTATGTCAGTCTCTCATGCGTCAAGGCGGTTGACTTGTAGAGCAATGTGTTTTCGCACCTCATCTGTTGTAGAGGCCATGGGAAGGACTTACGCCCAGTAAGTCGAGGCGTTCGAGGCGCTGTCGTGGTATGATGGTCACTTGTTCCATTTCGCAGAGGAAAGCTACTTCAGAGGGCCGTAGACCCATGGGGTGAGGAAATGCAGCCATAATGACCGGTAAAGAAGTGAGTAAAGTTCAGTGCAAGGGAACAGAGGGGGAGCCATCTAGTGTAGGGCAAAGTACAGCCTCGTCGCGACGCGCCAAGTCGCGGTTCCCTCTGGTTCAGCCTTGCCGGGCCGGCCAAGTTTGCTCTCAAGGAATGTGCGGACCCACTGGGCAAGAGCGACTCGAAATCACGACATCGTGGACTCCTCTGCCCTCAGACCATTTCGCTGCTGTCTCTCTTTCAGTGCTAGCCCACCCTTCTCTTTTACCGGGCTGTCTAGGAGACTGCGTTATCTCTCGGTCTCCGCCATGTCATATTTTGCTAGCCCAGAATTCCTTCGCGTCCTGCTTCTGGGCTTCATCACTTCGGCCCACATGACATGGCGACGGCTCGTCAATCAGATCGTTCCTGAGCCTTACCTCGACGAATTCTTCCACGTGCCGCAGGCCCAGGCGTATTGGCTCGGGAAATGGTCACAGTGGGATCCCAAGATCACAACCCCGCCCGGGCTCTACGTCTTCTCATACGCCGTCAACTCAATACGAGATTTCTTCTCGAAAGAAGGACTTAAACCCTCGATCAACGAATGGAGATTCACTAATGTCTTGCTCTTGTACCTATTGCTGGTGGCATTGTATGTCCTGGCAGCTGTTGGGAGGAAAAGTACCCAGCATGAACGCGTTCTTCAGCGGGAGTTCACCATCGTCTGCTTTCCCATGATTTTCTTCTTTTCCGGTATCTACTATACCGATCTCTTCAGCATTTTCACGGTCGTTGTTGCTCAGATATTCTGGTCTGCGGGGACGAACGCGGAGGGCCCGAAGAAATTTCTGTACCAATTCCTGCATCTTGTGGCTGGCTTGCTGTCTCTCACCGCGAGGCAGACGAATATCTTCTGGGTGGCTGTGTATCTGGGAGGGCTTCAGGTCGTTGAGAGCATCAAGTTGAGGGTCGGTGCACACGAGGTTCACGATCCTCCCGTATCAGAATCCTATTTCGAAGGTTAGCATGGCCCAAACCTCCTGTCTCCAGTCCAACCGTCTTCCATCTTCTCTTAGTCCCTATCTGACGACGGAATTAGACTTCCCTATCACCAGCATTTCGCTGTCTCAGGCTGCCGTGCCCATGCTCCCACAACTCCTCCTCGACCTGTGGCCGCAACTATCCCTCCTCATGTCATTTGCCGGATTTGTGGTCTGGAATGCAGGCGTCGTTCTTGGTGATAAGGATAACCACGTTGCCACCATCCACCTCCCGCAAATGCTCTACGTATGGCCAGCCATTGTCTTTTTCTCGTGGCCCGTCCTGCTACCTTTATTCTCCGATCTGTCGGCCTTCCGAAAACGCTTGCCGAGATGGACTACAACAATCACATTCACTGCAATCATGCTTGCCGTTGTCAACCTCAACACCATCATCCACCCGTTCACCCTAGCTGACAACCGGCACTATACATTCTACATCTTTGCCATCTTGAGGAAACACTGGCTTATCAAGTATGCCGCCGTGCCGATACACGTTGCGTGCGCCTTCCTGGTCCTTGCAGCCCTAGGCGGGTCCCCAGATGTCACACTGGGCGCACAAAAGGGCATTCGCATCCTACATGGCGACGACACTGTATGCGTGAGTTTCACGATCGTTTGGCTCATCTCGACTTCTTTGTCCCTCGTTGCCGCCCCCTTGGTTGAACCTCGATATTTCCTCATCCCATGGCTCACCTGGAGACTTGCTGTGCCTGATTACATACCTCCGTCAGAGGAGAAACGGAGGAGAGCAACATTGGAGAAGAAGGCAGCGGCTAGCGACCGCTCGCCCACACCTGGTCCCTCGACGTTACAATCAGCTTTGAGGACTGCAGCTGCGTACTCTGGGTGGGTAGAGCTGTGTTGGTACCTCTTGGTCAATCTGGCGACATGCTACGTGTTCCTATACAGAGGGTTCGAATGGGCTCAAGAACCAGGCAACGTCCAAAGATTCATGTGGTGATTTCGGAGCTGCAAGCTGCACCAAGGGGGGCATTAAGTTACGGTTTTAGGAGAGCCCCCGACAAGCAGGGAATATTGCACATATAATGTCCTTCAAATCAATATTTCCGCAAATCAATATTGTCCGACTAATAGCAGTAGCGGTGATGTGGTTTGGGAGTCTATACCAGGGAGTACACAGTAGTGGTGCTAGTGCAGTCATCACATTTGCTCCTAGAGTGGAGTGGCCATGACAGGGAGTGCAAGGGATAGGCCGCGCGTTTATACAGCGTGTAGAGCTCGCTCACTTGTTCGCGCCCTATCCAACACAGCAGCCTCGAATACAATAGCAGAAATGCTTAGTATTGTGTTCGCGCAGATGGTGGCCGTTGCTTGACATTCGTTGGGTTGACATATCTCTTGATAAATCTTACATGGACAGATAGTGCTCACAGAGAGAGAGAGAGAGAGAGAGAGACAGAGAAGAGAGGAGCCGCCTCATCTCAGGCACCTTTTCTGTTCCTGCAACCTGCCAGGAGAACTTGCTCTCGCTCTCGCTCCCGCACTCGCACTCGCGTTCGCAATTTTTCGATCCTCTTGCACGGGATTGTAGTGACTCCTTCTCGCTCGGCTAGGCCACCCGTCCCTCTACACTGCAACAACGCTGCCCAGCCTCATGACAGCCTTGACCTCGTCGTCGATCGTCGGGCCGTGGTATTCCTCCCGTCCCCGGACCCAGTACCATACTATACTGAAGATGACGACTCCACTCGTCACGACGACGGAGTAATTCATCGTGGTCGCGTCCACGGGCGTGACGGGCGGCCATACGGACCAGAAAATCACAAAGATCATGTACACGCAGGCGTAGGCGTTGTTCAGCGTGCCGAGGAGGCCCGGCAGGTGGAAGGGTCCCCACTGCAGCGGAGCTTGGGCGATCAGGCTGGGCCGACGGTTCTGGATCTCAAAGGTGGGTAGGTTCCCTGGGCTGCTGGTCGGTAGTGGAGGAGGAGGAGGGTCGGATTCAGGATGCAGCGGGTTTTTCTTCTCTCCGTAAAGTTCGGTGCCGGCGCCCACGCCTGGCGGGGTGGCGATTTTCTCAACGACCGGGTCGGAGTTACTGTTGCTGCTTTCCATGCCGGCGTCGTCGTCGATGGGCAACCCGGGCGTCTCCTTCCGATGGGGCTCGATGTGTCCTTTGACTCGGTGCCACAGCAGAAATGCCGCGGGCAGGAAATACGAGCAGTAAAATCCCGTGATCGTCAGGGAAATCACATCGTTGAATGCCGTGGTGCTGCCAATATAGATCAATGTGAGCAAGGCGGCCAGTGTGGTGACTACGGCGACGCCCACAACGGGAACCCTTCGGACACGCGACACGTAGGCAATCGTGCTGCTGAAGGGCGTGCCCTTGTCGCGCGCGAAGGACCAGGTCATTCGGGACGCGGTGGTTATTATCCCGGTGGCGCAGGCCCAGGTCAGGATCAGGACGACGGCGACCATGACTGTTGCGCCGGAGATGGAATTCACGCTGTCTGTTCGGATCCCTCAGATTAGTGGTTTCAATTGTCACAGCGCAGAGATTGAGGGGGCCTTTCGCCTCGGCAGAAGCACGTACTGTAGAAAATCTGAATGAACGGATATCCCGTGGCGGTCTCGAGCACGGAATCAACATCTCCAAGACAGAACAAGACGGTCAACATCATGACAAACCCAACGAGGCCATTGATGCACATGCTTGCAATTATGGCGCGGGGGATATTGAGTGCAGAATTCTCGACTTCTTCAGCCATGTGCACGGAGGCATCGGCGCCGACAAATGTTGCCACATTACCGAGAAATCCCACGCAGTAGGAGAGTCCTTGCGTGGGCCAGCCGCCTTCGTTCAGCGACGTGGTGAAGACGAAGTGGGCGGAGTTATGTGGTGCCGTTGCCCACAGTGTTGCCAGGATGGCAATGAATCCGGCAATGTGGAAGACAATGATGAAGATCTCAACCTTCGGCAGTGCTCCTGGGATAACCACATTGATAAAGATGGCAACCGCGATAACCAGCCACGCCAAGAGCGTGCCGTGCCAGCGTTTGGCCTCGTAGCTGTTCTCGTTGTCCAGAATGATGGCGCCCTGAATCATTGTACCCGCGAAGATGGTCTCCGTTGCGACGGTGGCGATCCAGGCAAGAGAGGTCAGCCAGCCGATGATATAGCTACTAAACACCTTCCAGCGTGGTGGAGCGAGCATGTACACCCAGTAGTACTGGCCCCCAGCAATCGGTGCCATGGACGCGAGCTCCGAGATGACCGTGTACACTGACAGAGTACTGGACCAGGCAATGATGAAGCCGTAGACGAGACCTGCCGGTCCGCCATTGTCGAAGCCTTGACTGAACAGAGCAAGTACTGTTTCCCAGGTGATGAGTTCGCAAACGGCAAAACCGAAGAGAGACCAGAACCCAAATCGTCTTTTGAGCACTTGCTTCTTGCCGAGTAATGCTAAGGCACGGCTGTCATTGTCTTCCTTGACGTGAGGCATCGTAGCTTGGTGGGCAAGGACCAAATAGAAGCCACACCGTTGAGTCGTGTGTTCTGCTCGTATTGCGGCGGAGAAGGGCGCGAGCTTTGCAAAACTGGAGAAGGCTGAAGCTGGGTATATAGCTCGTCAAAGCTTCCTTCTAGCCTCAAATGCTTCCTCCTAGTTCCGGCCCCCGGAACTTCTGTCTACTTCGAGCGATGGGACATATGATTCTCGAGGCTGACGGTGCGAGAGATAGTTGAAGATAGAGGCTGTCAAGGAGAGTGGCTGGAGAAAGCCCGAGGTCACGCGGGGGTGGAACTGCAGAAATCAATCGTTGCTAGAACCTTTCCTCATATGGGAAACTTTGGCCTCTGCGATGGATCAGACAATGGGGTAGCCGTTATCCATAACGAGGTTATCCGCCAATGGTACAGCAGCGGAGTCGCGGCCACAATCTGCGTTCTCGTCGTGACTTGCTCTTTCGGAAGCTTTGAAGAGAGGGGAAGAAGCACGAGTCGAGTACCGGGGCATGGTGGAACTTCTCACCACCCAATCCAAGGACCCCAAGAAGCTTTTGCCGAGGCCACTGACGGAGCGCCTCCCGAAAGTCTCACGCGTGTGACTGGCTTGCGTGAAGCCGTGAAAAGCTTGCCTCGGTGCTTGCTTGTAGCTTGTCGTTCATAGTAGAAACTTTCTTCCTCCTTGTGCGCGACAAAAGACAACGGAAGTCTGCGAGAGACAGCCATCCGAGTCTGTGATGATAGGTGTCGATGCTGGTATTGCTCGGCCAGTGACGAGAGCAAGATTTTTCGAAATCCCTCCTGACGTTAATTAGTGCTAACAACGAAAGGCGCGGATGCCAGGGTGACGTGGGTCTGGCAAGGAGTTGACCGACGCTGCCTGTGGATATCTCAGGAAAGGTCCCAGGACCAGACGATTGACACAGGTATTCGGACTGGCCAAAGAAATCGTCGCATATTTGGTACGAGGTATGAGTAGTGTTGAGCATGGTTCTCGGAGCGTCCAAGCAGCTTGATGCAGACATTGCCGCGTCTAGGGAGAAGATTGTTGGCCTGTACTCGCGGGCTCGCGGGCTTCCATGAAGCTCACCGGGTGTAGTGGCTCACACTTGATTGGGAACTCGCCCATGACTGAGTTTATAGCCGTGCTGGCCGCTCGAGTGTGAATTAGCCCGGAGGCAGGATCTGTATATGGATTCCGGTATTCGATACCGCTTCGACAAGAGGCAAGGGCTGATATTGTCGGCAAAAATAAAGAAATGGTTGGTGAAAGACGAGATGCTCACCTGGAATGACAATGAGAATACTGGCTCAACGTAGGCCACAGACACTTACAGGCATGGTTGTTGGACTCGAATGTCCACAATATCTATCCAGAAAGGTGCATCGTCGGTGTTGGACAATGTGAAGCGTGCAGATGGACCGTGAGGCAGTTCAAGAGACATGGGAACCGAAGCTTGTTATGAGGATTGAATCGTGAGGTCTCTGGTGGTGTTAATGCGGATCCTCGGATACGCCTCGAGTTCTGTAGGTCTTCGTTGTAGGGCATACAATTACGATGATAGAAGCCAATATCAATGTTCTTCGCTCCTTGTGCGAGCACAGAGTACACTGAGACAAAAATGCTATACCAATAACCAGGGGGTCCCGAAGCGGCTGTGACGGTGGGCGGCTAAGCCTAGAAGACACGATAGTTAGGACTGCCTGTGTAGTTAGCTGAGGGTGCCTGTGCAGGTAGCCAATCCCTAGGTACTGGGGTAGTTAAAGGGGGGCGCCCTTCCACGTGCGAAGGTGCTTTACCCGGGCGCCATGCGCTTCTACCCACCCAGGCCGAAGATGGACTTCCCGTTATGGCATGTGGCGTCAGATCTAGCCCTGTCTATCCCGAAATTGGCTCGGCTCGTAGGTCTCGACTTGGGTCACACTGAGAACATGCGTCAAGCCATCTGCACCTTTCAGCTCGGTGAATCCGTGGAGACGGCGCCACGATGAACACAAGAGCAGATAAAGACAGCGGCCTGGTGCCGCCGAGGACTCCTCCGCTACAGTGTCGAGAGCTCGTCCTGTTGCCCCTAGAACATGTCCGTAAACGCTGTCGAGATTCCGGCACCACAACCGTCGATTGATGTTCGCGAAGAGAAGTTGATCAATGAAAGCCTGCAACAGCAAGAAGAATGGCCAAGACTCAACAGATTTCTACGCGTCGCCGACGAGTACTGGCTTCTTGAATGGTTGGGCGTCTTCCTTGCGTTTGGTTCCATTGCCGGCATCGCGGCGTTGCTAGGTCTGTCTTCCCTTTTCACTCTGTGTACTCCTTACACTTCAACGTGCTCGGTGGATCAATGCTTATCGTCGTCTCGTCTTCAGGATGGCGCAACGGCCGACCGAGTCCCAACTGGCACTGGACAATTGGGAGAGGTCACCACACCAAGGAGGTTTCTATCACGATCAACACAATTATATCTCTTTTCTCTACGGCCTTCAAGTCGGGCTTGCTTATTCCCGTCAGTGCCTCGCTTGGACAGCTCAAATGGATCTGGTTCCAAGGCGGCCGCCCCTTGTCTCACTTCGCTGCCTTTGACTCGGCTGCTCGTGGGCCCCTTGGCTCGGTTGTACTTCTATGGACTCTGCGAGGGAGACGCCTTGCATGCTTGGGAGCTCTCATTATTATTGCATCTCTGGCTGTTGACTTTGCATTGCAAGCCTTGGTCATCTACCCACTCCGACCTGTCGATATCGGCATTAGGGCGACAGTACCACGGGCTAATAATTACGGTCCTCTTCTGCAACCGGGCGATGGACTCGAGCCCTCGATGTACGGAGCGATCTTCGCCGGCGTGTACAACTGGAAAGCCAACTATCAAGTGCAGCCCTCCTGCGCCACAGGCAATTGCACCTTCCCAGATACCTATACAAGTCTCGCCGTCTGCAGCAGTTGCTACGATGTCACCAACGAGCTCCGGAAATCGTGCGCCACGGGGAACTTTACTCACACTGTGTGTTTTGAAGAAGACGAACAGTGCGACGACGTACCCACCTTGGTCGAGCACACCTATTGCAACTATACTCTTCCTAACGGACTCGAGATGAGTGGTCTCCCATCGGGCAACTGGTCTTATGCTGAGATAAGCGGAAATCTCGACAAGTCTGTGAAGTTTGATCTCCAAGGCATTTTATCGGTCTTCTCGACAATACATGCAACACGCGAGAGTCGCTCTTCGGACGCAGTGATCTCTCCTGGTAGTGTTCAGGCCACGGAATGTGGCCTTTACTACTGTGTTCAGAAACACACCGTCAAGATTGTCAACGGCTCGATAACAGAGAAGCTCGTTGATACGTACCTCGCCAATCCCACTGACTACGACGAAAATCCCGGAGAAACAGTCGTCTTCCGTCCTCCGCAATCTTGGACCAATGTTAGCGACGGTGCGTCGTTTGATCCATACGAAAACACGCCCAACGCCAATATCTATATGGGTGGCGGTTTGACTGACATTCGCGAAACCTTCCGTGATATTTGGAATGGATCGAGACGAGTTATCAACGGTAACCTGGTTCCATCTACCACTGCCCTGGCAGATATGACGTGGACCTTCGAACTGGACGACTTCAGTAACTGGACACATGGGATTGCATCGTCCATGAACCTCAACATCCGCACCAATGAAGCAGTCTGGTACACAAATCCCTTCCCCACGGCGAATGGTACCACCTACCAGGATCAGCCATTTGTGTCAATTCGTTGGCCATGGATCGCGTTGCCTGCAGTGCTTGCGGTTCTTGCACTCATCCTGCTTCTCTCGACGATACATCTGTCTGCGAAAAAGGGGGCTCTTCCCTGGAAGGGCAACAGTCTAGCCCATTTCTTCCATCCGTTGACGAGTGGTGGTCGACACGCCATCGCCGAGGCACAAACTCCTAGGCAGATGCAAAGCATGGCCGAACGTTTTCCCGTTCGCGTCCAGAAGACAGAAAGCGGGTTTAGACTCGTGGAGCATGGCATTCCGATAGAGATGTTGCATCCACCGAATCCCTATACACCGCAAACGCCCAGCTCCAGAGAATCCCAGCAGATGTTTGGTACGGTTTCTGACATGAGGAATAGGAAAGGGGTAAGTAGTCCCTAGATGATAGTAAACGGCCTTGCAACGTGTTGATGAGGCACCTGCGACATTCCAAGCTCTAGGCCTGTGCTCAGGCGACATTCAGGTCTTGCGTATGGAGTCGCCTATCGTGCTTTCGTAGAGAGCCCAAAATACATGGCCAGTACTTTTGTTCTCTTTCTTGTCTCTCTCTCTCTCTCTCATTGTGTTATTCCCGCATTTAGGCCTTTACGCGCAATCAAGAAGCGGATGGTTAGCGGACCCTGCTATGGCTGCTCCCAGTCTGGCCAATGCTGGCTCCTTTGTCCCTTTGCTATTGAGGCTCTCTTCCGGACAGCCTTGCAAATCACCATGCTGGAGACCTCCTGCTTGATGCTTCGCCCATTGTCTGCTCGGCCAAACATGTTGCTTATAGCCTGTGCTGCGTCTGGAGGGCTTGAGTCGAGAACTACCCTTCGCGTCAGCCACGCCACCAACAACCCCCAAAAGGATTTTCAGACTTCGATATGAGACCATTACCAGTCATCAGCATTTTAGGGCTTTTCGCCTCCCTTGTCGCCGCCAAAGCGTCAAGTTTCCCATTGCCAATATGCGCGAATGATAAATTCCTCTGTGATACCATGAACGGGGCGTGGTGCATAGACAAAAATGCTGGGGACTGGTGCTGTGATGATGGAACTGGTACGTCTTCCTGTGTTTCTACCACGCAACATGTCCAGCTGACCATGAATGAACTGCAAATAGGAAGTTGTGGCAAGAACTTCCAATGTGGCACTGGCCCAGCTGCCAACCGCTGTTGTCCTCAAGGCATCACGATGGACCAATGCGCTCGCGCCATCGTGGTCAACAAGGCTTCGAGTGTCCCTGCAATTCGGAAGAGGGACGACGCTTCCCATTAACACTATACACACAACGACTAGCAGACATGTAGGCTGGACCCGACGCACTGTTGCTCGCTTGAGATAGACTGATAGCGGACGAAGGTTTGGCTGGGCATATTGTGTAACGAGGAGCGTGGGCCACAGCACCAGTTTCGGCAAGATCGCGCTCTCAACTCAGTCGTCTAGGACAGCTCACAGGTATCGCCATCGCAGAGTCCGGAGGGACGACAACCACGAAACCGTGAGTTGAGCAGGGTCTGCGCGCAGAGGTAGCCAAAACGAAAACAGGCAGACAAATAATAAAACCGAGGTCAAGCATCAATACTAGTTTGTTGAACTCCCGTTCGTCATAGTGAGGCTGTGGTGGCGTCTCTGATGTGGCGCAGATGGAGGGGTGTTTCACGCCAAACTTGTGACGTATGTGCATTTTCAAATGATCGCCGCTGCATTGCGTCGCGCATGATCCTCGATTGCCTTCGATTCTTAAAAGACATAGTACCTCCTACTTCTCGTTGCAAACGAGATTCTCAATTCTCATCACGAAACTAAGTACCGTCAATTCGGCCAGAAATCACTATTACCCATCAAGGATAACTCAACCATGTCTACCACAGTCCACGTCAAGGGTATCTCCCACGATACCAGCGAGAAGGAGGTCAAGGACTTCTTCAGCTTCTGGTGAGTTCCAAAAACAACATCCGCTGGGAGTTGCGATGCTAATCTCCCTCAGTGGCAAGATCACCAATATCTCTGTTACCCCGGAGTCCGATGCCCCTGATGCATCGAAATCTGCTTCTGTGACATTCGAGAAAGAGACGTAAGTGCCGGCAAACCCGTTCAGTCACGAGAGTTGGATTCTAACCACCTCGCAGAGCTGCTAAGACCGCACTCCTCCTCGACAGCACACAGCTCGGAAAGTCTCAAGTTCATGTCTCGACCGCAGGCAATATCGATGATGTCGCCTCCAAGGCGGGTGCGGCCGTGTCCTCCTCGACTGGCGACGACCATATCGCCCAAGAAGACAAGCCGCGGTCAAGAATTGTTGCTGAATACCTTGCCCACGGCTATGCTGTGTCGGACCAAGTGATTGAAAGAGCTCTTCAGCTAGACAAGAAGCACGGTTTCAGCCAGCGTTTCAACAATGCTCTCAGTACCTTCGACCAAAAGTACAAAGCAACCGATACAGCCAAGTCTGTCGATACCAAGTACGGTGTGAGCGACAAGGCAACAAGCGCTTGGGGCGGCCTCACTTCATACTTTGAAAAGGCCATGGGCACTCCCACCGGCCAAAAGGTCAGACAGTTCTACATCCAAGGGGACAAGCAAGTCAGAGACGTTCACAACGAGGCGAGAAGATTAGCAGACCTCAAGGCTGGCAAGCATTACGACCCCGAACCTATTCCAGGAACGGACAAGACAGTCTGCAAGTGTGGCGGCGAGGAGGGCACCTGCGGCTGCGCTCCAGGCCACTGCAATTGTGCTAGATGCGCCAAGAGCGACGTTGGTGATATCCAACCGGAGCCAGTCAAGGGTACGCAGTCCACAGTCTGCAAATGCGGTGGCTCGGAAGGTATCTGCCCTTGCCCACCTGGTCACTGTGCTTGTGCTAGTTGCGCAAAGAGCAGTCCCGAGAAGACTACTGAGGCTAAAGAGGCTGCCCAAGCAAGTGGTCAACAATTACCTGCTGGTTCTGTGTAAGGATGCCAGATTGTGAACGGTATCTTTATCAGCTGAAGCACGGGTTTGGAACGGGAGGGTTCAAACATGCTTGGCCGTTGAGAGCAGAGATTACTCAATTCTGTAAAGCAGTCTGCGAGCTTGAACTACTCGTAGTGTTAATGAAATTGACTCATGAATTCATTCCGCACACGGTGAAGATTATTTTCGCAATGATGACTGACACGCTTGGGAAATGGCTTCAGAATGCACCTATATAGTACGATACGAGGAACCGGCCGGGCGGAGCTGAAGGATACATGATACACTGCTGAAGGGACTTTCCACGAGCTTTCCTGAGAGACGACTTGATAACATTGATATTGATGAATAGCGCTTGGGCTTTGGATTAGTTAACACCACGGGAAATTATACCCTACTGAGCACGAACAAGTACTGAATGCAGTTGCGTCACAGTTTGTGTACCAGTTGCTATTCGATCCTGACTCGACGGCAAGGCTAGCGGAGTGCTTCTGGAAGGTAGGAATTGTCTGAAAGCAAAAATGTCAGCATCGGCGATTACAGGATGCTAGGTGTGTCACAAGTGAAATGAACTGGTCAAAGCTGAAAACCTCGGTCATTCAACAGGCACAGGCGTCAATTGGTAGTGCTTTGCCCGGACCAAGACACTACACCGCCCATTGCCGCGCCCGGCAGTGACCCAGACGCACTGAGACACCCACAGGCAAACTCTGCCTGCGCCCCAAAAGTAGCTCCTGTTGCCCTTTAATCCAGGCTTCCCTCCTATCCTTTGATGACTCTTGTCCTCAACCACAATAACTTATTAATTTGTGTCGCTGTCGTCCCGGACGGTAGCTTCTTCTTCCCTCAACCTTTTGCGCCGACTATTGTTCGCCAGAGTATGAACAAGCCTTCGACCGTTTCCATCTTTCGCTTCTGTGAGGCCTGCGACGAGCCTGGATAACTGGCCCGTTCGCAGCGACGGCCACAGTGGCAGAAACAGCATAGATAAAATTCGAATATACAAAGACCAGACAGACCAAGGTATATCTGCCTGCGGCACTGTTCATGGTGCATCGCAAACTGAGATTGTCGCAGACTCAAGACGAACACTCGGAGCTCCGACAGTCAAGATGTGCTTCGAACGCCTCATCCGGCTCAGATGCAGCCACTACGAATCATACCAGCTGGACAAGAATGGCTGCAAGTATCAGGCCGGCCGCCAGTGCCCGAAATACGTCCAGCTTCAAGTTCGGGAGGACAAGAATCGTAGCTGCCCTCGCTGCAAAGCAAATCTGATGGCGACGTTCGGGATCGCCAGTCACAGCCTTCGGTGGACAAAGTAACCCAAAAGTGCGTCGCAAAGGCTAATTTGGAGCACTCGGCAAAGTGGATGGCAGATGCATGGACTCATAGCAAGGGGGGAGTGTTCACGCAGAGACAAGTTGTTATCATCTGTGAACTATACTTGATGGTACTTGAGATCCTACTCTGTATCGCGTGGTTCGACAATTTTGACGGCCGAGTGGAATCGGTGGTGGCCGCCCTCTAATATGTATGCGGCATCGCAATCCATCCAAGCATTCAAACACCCCCAGTATTCTTTTTGTGCATGTGCACCTGCTGAAAATGGTGGAAAATGAAATGCCAGATCCTCGATTCAGACATGCAGATTAATTGCTTCCTCAGCCATGGGATTCTGCTAGTTTACCAAGAATGGCTTGCAGGAGGCGTGACATGGTTCGCAGTCCCCATTCTTTCGTAACCAGCAGACGTCATACTCTTGAGGTGGGATGTTCGGAGGGGCGAAGTGCGCCTGTTCTTACAATCATTCTCCTCTCTTCCCACGTATATCTTACTGTTGAACCACCCAGTTCTTTGCAACAATACTTTCACCACGATTCATCAACTCTGAAGACATTCTACAATACCCCTTGGACCGAAGGTAAGCCGTGTCCAACTCAACAGCCCCTGCTTCCTAGCGAACACCTGCTCACACGGTCCATAGAATCCCAATTCCTAGACACACTCAACACAATGTCTGCACCAAATCAAGGTCGTCAATCACCAGATCCTGAACGCCAAACTGGTGCTCAGCAAGGAGACCATCCTTCCCAGCCAGGCAGCGGAAAGGTATTCCCATTGTCTCCTCAAAATGTCCCCTGACCAAGCAAGATTAAGTCTTTGCTCCTTGCACAACGATATCGTATATTCTTGGTAGGCGGCTGCTGACGTATATCCGCGCAGCTCGACAACTCGCAAAGCAAGGACGAGGGCAAGGATGACCAGACTGCCGGTCTCCAGAGCAACCCCAAACACATCCTTGAGGACCACGCGGAGACAAAGACTGCGAAGGGGACGTCAGCAGATGCGGCGAAGACGAGCTAGGAGAATGGAAGGAGAGCCAAAATAGAGTGTATATCTACCTTGTGGAGAAGACAAAGAGATAGTGAGGCAGGGATGAGCGTAAAACAGCTCGACTGAATCAAACGGTTACCCATTCACGTCCACATCCCTGTTTCTGTTCAGTTTGAAGCACGATCTTTCTTGGTCGCAAAAGTGATACAGCTACACCACAAACTGGCCATTCCAACCATTCTTGCTTCGAGTCACGGGTTAATTGTGTCCCACTACGTAGATCTCACAGGGACCGTCAACGTCTTAGTCGCCTCGAGTGTCCCTCCCCCAGCTGGCGTATGATGAGAAGATACCACCAGTCGTTGAATATACGGTTGTCATCCCTAACAGAAGCCCACTCAACTTACTTTGTACGGTAAGCATCCATCGACCACAGAGTAGGTACACAGTAGAATTCCCTTCCATACCGCGGAAACATTTCCCGACTGAACCGTTTCCCCTACGTCATGGGACGAACGACTCGGTCGGCTCGGCCCGCGTTTAGTGGCTGATCGGCAAAACGCGCCAATCCCCAAAAACGGAGCCCGAAGTTGCATTGCCAGAATCTTGACCCCTTGGATTTCTCAATTTATATCCGTGGGCCAAGTCAAGCCATGTTTGGTTATGTCTCCGTGTCGTTGAACGCGTTGCTTGTCTTCTATCTTTCCCTATCGGCGTCTATAACCGCTGCCGATCAAGACACACTGATCAATGGAGAGTCCAAACGAAAAGGGTACTCCAAAGGAGAGCTTATACCGGTCAGCTGTTTGAACAGAACAATGTGAGTATCCGGAAGAAGCGTCGCTTGTATTGAGACTTACAGATGCAGTGACACCGGCGAACATGTGAGTTTGTGCTTGGCCGTCTGCATCTGCGAGCGTATCACTCTGAGCTGCAACGGTGTCCTCAAATCTCCTGCCTCGGAATCTCACGTCGCCATGCCAGATTACCGATGACCACGGAAATTTACAATATATACCCTTCCCGACGTGCAACGAGACAAACAAACCCCTTTCGTTCGAGTACAACATACCGCAGACACAGACCTGCACCATCGATGCGCTGCCAGATGAGCTCTACCATCTCCTCGAATTCTTTGTCCACAGCGACGTCCCCTTGACGTGTCGCGTCCCGTCGTACCCGTTGGACCAGGAAGAGCTTGGGATCATATCTTCTGTCCGGGATGCTGGCGGTGCGGGCGCCGACAAAGGCCTCTGGACGCCCTTTACAATCGCGCTGCAGGGCACCTTGCAGCTGTCACACCTACACCTCCACACGAATATAAATGCCTTGTTCCATATGTCGCAGGACCCGGATTCGGCAAAGACTACCACATCATCGCAGTCATATCTGATTGCCTCGACCGCATACTCATTGCCAAACACATCATCTTCCGCGCCAGTTGAAGGCTCCAAGATTGTTCGCAACGAGCCGTTAGTCCTTACTTTCAATGTCGGCTGGATTGACGGCGCGGTTCTACCTGGAATGGTGGGAAGACCTGTCATGAAGGTAACAGACCACAGCATTGGCTTTTCGCTGTTGAGCTTCTTTGCTCTTGCTGCTAGCGCGGGCGTCGGGGCTATGGCCATGCTTGTGTACGAGCGGAGAAAGAGTGGGAGAAGTGGCATCTACGGGAACGGGATATTGGGCGGCAATGTTGGCAATGGCATGCCGAGGTCATCGGGGTATGGGGGATACGGAGGATATACAAGCAGTTTTGGGAAGAGGGACTGAAGCTGTGGGCTTCTCACGGATGGGTCGGCACATACAGGAGTGTTCTACCCTGGTCTAAAGCTGGTCTGTGTCTCGTGTCGACTTGCGAGATGAAGGAGGTATGGTCACAAGCCCCAAGACCGGCGGCACCTCTCATTCTCGGTGTGGTACTACTCATTGGACAGTGCGTGCCATGCCTATCACGGCTTCCGAGATCCTTGATCCCCAGATACACGCCCTAGTGTAGCATTCGGGGTTTCAGCTTCGTCGCTCTACCGGACAACCACTATGGTATGCTCCTGGTCCGGTTATGCCACCGAACGTCCTGTGGTAGTCTCGTATATTTCAACGAAGACGCAAGCGAGAAGCAAGATCATATTCTCATTCTCTCCACCTCATTCTTCATTTATTGTCTATGCCTACACGACAAGCTCCTTTGCGCATTGGTTCAAAGCTACGAAACTCACGATCTAGCCACCATATAGCTTACAACAGGACGAATGTGCAACCACAACAACAGCTCAGCAACATGTATTACTTGATTAGTTCACGCATACCAGGCGGGGCAACACAGGATCAAAGGCATAGCACAGGAGGACATCTCATGGATGAGGACGAATGAGAGCACCAGGTGAAGAATAGTGGTCATGTATGTATATCTCTTGAAAAGTCTAGAAATACACGTTGTGCACGTAGACACAAGCACGGACTCTATAATATGAGTTAGCTAGTGTAATACCTGCGGTTGTTGTCCGTGTGCGCATGTATGTGGTTATGCCGGTCGCCAACTACAGGTACTTCCAGTACGATCAAAGTCCTGGGTTGCAACGTCAGTGGTCTATCCTGGACTATCGTGCCAGTTACCCTGCTCTGCCCTGCCCGGCACACTCACTCCACTGTCGGTAGGAAGACAGGTAATATGTCTATCCTTGAAGTCGGCAAACGAAACTTAGCCCAAACCAATGCAAAGTATGAGCGGCGGAGCGGCGGCGCTCTCTTTGACGTACCCAGAAAGTCGCTAACCTGTTTACACCATTGCTCCGGGTGTTCGAGAATATCTTCTATGCATTGGTTGCATTGGCTCTGCACGGGTTAGAGGGGTGGAGAAGCGCATAGCGTGATTCAAATAGACGACTTTATGGATAGACAACAGTAGTGCGTACCAAATCTCACATATCGTCTAATCTACCGATACCGACGGGGATTTGCGCGATGAGTCATTCCGTACCAGTCGAAAGGGACGCGCTCTGTCCGGGCGAGCCGTTCATCCGTACGCCGAGCTGTTTCTCTCACCGCGGCCACGGCGTTTTGTTCGGGAGAGCCTCGCGGCGTTATGGACGCGGCACGCAATTTTCGGATAATCTCGGGATAGTCCAGTCTCGCTGATGCGGAAGATTGCGTGGTGCCTGCTTGCGAGGGCGAGGGGGGAGGGAGGAAGGGCAGATCCTTCTCCTCGGCCGAGAATGGGCGCTGCTTGAAGGGGTTGTGCTTCGAAGCATGACCGGTCGGACGGCCACCGAGGGAAAGGCAGGAATGGTGGTCTTTCTGTGGCATGCGTTGCGCCTTTGCGGGCGTGGTCTGAATAGCTCGAGGTTGAGCTTGAGTTTGAGCTTGAGGTCCCTGCTCTTGGGAGTCATGGAGTCGCTCGCACGGGAGTCGAGAAACCGGCTCCATTGTCTCGAATATCGGTGGTGCTGCCACGCCCTGCTTTGTCTGGAATTCTGTTGGCTCGTGCATGTCGGGTTCGCCCTGAGGTGTCGATGGCGCAGGGTCGTATGCCCCGAACGTGTCCGCCTCTGCATCCATCCTCTCCTTGTACATAACCCAGTCTTTGGCCAGTGGAGCGTCTGGCTTGGTTGCCCTTCGCGCTTCGCGAGTCTCCTTCCGGTTGACCATATCCCAGTCCGGTTCATGTGGGACAATTTCCCATGCCTTGTTGGTGTCGAGACGCCTCGTGGCAGGATGTGTCTTGCACTTCACCATGTCGTTGGGTTTCGACTTCGAGCCAGGGCTCACAGCCTTGTCATCAGCGTTAGTATGGTCGTAAATGCCGAGCACATCGAGATGTACACTCTTCTGGGCATTTTGTCCAAGTATTTCCCATCCATCGACTTTGGTGTCCTGAGTCTCATTGTCGGGTTGAGCAGGTGTTGGGACTTCTGCACCACATCTTCCCCAGCCTGCTTCCTTGGCGCCGAAAGTCCCACTGGCGGCGTGTTTGCCATTTTGACTATACGACCTGGATAAATACGGGTCTTCTTCGGAATAGTATGCTCGCATGTCGAGGCCGGACATCCTGGTCGCTATGTTGAGGATATGCCGAATTATCCACCCAGTTAGTGGGACCGACTCTGCTAACTTGGATTCGAATTGCCCCTTTGGATCGCAGGCCGACGAGAAGCTGCGTGCCGCCAGTTTGGAGATTTATCTGACTTGGTTTGAGGGCCTGTTTTGGTACGAAATATTTGGCTATAAGTTATCAAGGGGAGTATAAACATCCCTATCAAAGTTAACTGAAAGAGGGGAGAGACAGAGAAACCAAAGGGTAAGTTCGAGGTGTTCTATTATACGCTGTCTCCATGTTTGCAACATTTCCGCCACCATCACCAGATTTCGAGGCCGACAAACAGATGAGGAAGACTCCTCTTGAGCCGTTCGGAGTTTGGCTGGCTGATACTCAAAATCACTGGAGCAGTTCTTGTCCTCCCGACTCAGTGACCGGTGAGACGGGTGCTTTGCTCGGATATCATGGTCGATGGATTGGATTGTGACGCCACGATCCTGGGATCGAGCTGAGGGTCTGGTTCAGATTATCCCGTAGACGGCAGAGCCTCGTTACTTGCTCTGGATGAAGTAGTCGAGCAGCTGTCGATAGTCAAGGGAGTAGGAAGGGTGTGCCGTGGAATTGAATGCACGTCCAAGCGTAGCTTGTCCATTCACACCTTGAGTTAGCTATGAGGAGCTGTTCTGCTCTAGGGTGTTTCCGCGGCTCATATTGCAGGAGTCCACCTGCCAACCAGGGATTGTCTTGGCTGACTCCGTATCGAGATCATTTCTAGGATCGAATATACTTCGATGGAAGCGTCCATTGCCATACTCACTCTGAGCGGAAATAATATCCAAAACTAATACGAGTCCTGTCAAATGCTTCGACCGAGAAATTGCCATTCTAGCGCATTTGCGTCGCCGCCGAGATTGATCACCCGCTTTGCTTTGCTCTCTACCTAATCTCACTCATCTTGCCACCTGTCGCATCTTGTTTTCAGCGCCCACGCATGGTTTCCGGAGACCGACAGTCAAGGTCGATCTGCTGATATTCCGCGCTATATGTTGTCTCGTGGACAGTTGTTCACCTCTCGAATATCTAGGCTGGACGCCGATCTATTGAAGAATTGATCAGCGACAGCGATAATCTGCGAGCTATGCCTCCACAAACAAAAGAACCGTTGGTCAACATGGTCCAGAATTGTGCGATCGATGTTCTTGGCGGCATCATGGTCGTGACACAGATTGAAGACTGTCTTCGGCTACGCACTCCTCAAGCCCGCGGTCCTGCAACGCTTGTGCCATGGCTTTAGACTCTCTTTACGATTGCACGTCTAAGTTCTCGGTGCAGTGGGACCTTGAAAGACCACAGACCTTCCATTCGAGGCGGCACCAGCTTCTGCACATTCCCAAGGTCTCTTCCGAGCCCGTCTCCATCGTTAATTATTCCCACGGCTTGCGCATAGATTTAAACGTGGCGTGTCTCCCTGGCGCACTGCGGTTTGCCGCAATTCATTAAGCTGTTTACTCTATGAACTCTACGGTCGTGGCTGCGGGCGATGCATTTGTTGAAATACTCTAGCACAGCTCGAGGACCTACTTTCATACCGCCAGCGCCCTTCCTGAAGTGTTGGCGATCGAATCGTGGCAATCGAACGGCAAAGCCACAATTATCTCTGCCATTGACCTCGCCAGGACATGTTGTTTACACTCTCAGCAGAGCCTACCGTAATATGTCTTCCGCTTCAACATCAGGGCAGTTGACAAGAACGAGGTATATCCCAGCTCAATGAGTTCAAACTCGAGGTTAAACTCAATGTTGCAGCGTATGATGCTAGATACATATATTCACGACATCGGTCCAGCCAGCTCCTCATCAACGAAACAACCAGGAACTCAGCCTAATCAACCAAAGGCGGCTAACTGGCTATAGAGGCTCCCACGTGGGTCGACTCGTTGCTCTGTACACTCAGACTCTGTCAGCATCATCAACTCCGGTGGTCATTCCGGATAAGCCGCTGGGAGAGTATATCGGTCGAATGTCTAAAGCCTCGGCCGGAATCTCTGAATCGTGGATTGCGGTCTCGCGTTTGACCCGTCCGTGTAGGTGCAAGCCACGTAATGTAACCGAAAGAGTCGGACCCTGTCGACGAGAAATCCTTCTTTTCGCAACACGACCGCTTGGTCTTGTCCCCGTGCTTCTCCTGGTTCTGCCCTTCGTCTGCCAAGCGGGCCATCAGTACGCAGCAATGCATACAGCTGGGCGGGATGCGTACCGTTCGTAGCATCCTCATCGTGTTGGACTGCGGACAAGATGTAGCGTTGTCGTCGTCATCCTCCTCCTCGCGGGAGATGAAATCCCAAGCATGCTCCCCATCGAGGTCCTGAACGGAATGAGAACCAGAGCCAGACTCCGCAACGCAGTCAGGTTTGTATTTCTTCTTCGTCATCTCCGTCTGGCATTGGTATCTGCTTTGCCTGAACAGATCTACGGTGGCTCGGTTTCATGGCAGGGTCATCATCGACTACAGCCCATGGATCTTCTTCCCGACATGTCAAGTCCATGGGCCCGATCAGATGACGGTAACGCGGTAACTGTGATGGCGATGACGAGGCGTGACGGTTCATGAAGATTAAAAGCTTCCGAACCATTGCTGCAGGTTCCCCGTGATGGCAAGATATGTACATGAGTGATACGTGTCACGGTTGCGCCGACGGTAGGTCGAGTATGCGAGGAAAGGCTATATAACTACACCGTACTTTCGCTTTATATGTATCATGTCCTTCGTTTGCAATTCGCTCGTCCTCGTTACAAACAGGAGCCATGGCATGTACTCACGGCGCGACCCCAGTGGTGTCCTCCCATACGGAAGTACAATGCCAGTGTTATCTTTACGCGCGCCGTTGGTGATCTCCGTGAAGTGGGATACACCTTCGTCTTGCAGCACGGCACAGCACGGCACAGCAAACCACGAAACAGGTCCTTGGTTTAACATTTACCAGTTTCTAAACTTCAAGGCGTACAGAACGTAGTTTCGTCAGTCTGCTCCTTTTTGCTCCAACATCTTCTCCTGTCGAATCTCAATATACACAGCACTCCAGCCTCGACCAGCATGTCATCGTAAGCACTCATTCCCAGCTTCTGTGCCCGGTGGAGATGATCACATACAGAATGATCTAGGGCTCGCCCCTATAGATGTCGGGCAGAGACTCCTTCTAAGGGTCATGGAAGAGGCCGTCGATCTGGTGTGATGGGGATGGCGATGGGGATTGACCATTATCACGAGGCAGTGTATCCTGCATCTGCCCCTGCTCTGCTTCTCCCCTCTACTTCCTATCACAATTACCCTCAGATATACGCGAATCGACCCCGCCTTCGGGATCTCGCAACGTTTTGACTGCCTCGGTACGATGAAGCCAATCTCTTTTGGCCACGCGGTCTTGTCCTTGCTGTGCCCCGCAAAGTTAGATACGTGTTCGAACGTGCATGCAGAGGGCATTGATGTATCACATCTCAGAACGGTGCGGCGTGGGCGTTCCTTGAAATTGAGACTGGAACCGAGACTCACCGGAGTCGCTCTCGCTACTCTCTCTCCCCGCGTAGACTTCCTTCTTTTCGGACAACTCGTCGATCGCGTGGCCTCCGTCGCCATCGTCATCGTCATCGTCACACCTATCATCTCCATCGTGCCCGTCACGAGGCAAGCAGAGTGCGAATCCCGCAGATGTCGTTACGGCATCCACCCCCACGTATCCGTTCCCCACGAATACCCACCCCCAGCCATGGTCTGCTGGGCCTACCACCACCTCATCGTCTTCTTCTTCTTCTTCTGATACCATGATCCAGCCGCGGTCCACGGAGTGTTCGGCGTCATCGTCTCTATCGTCGTCAGACCCGCACCCGTCATCACCATCACAGTCACCGAGTCCCGTCCGAAATCCCCGTGGTCCTCCGATCCTCCAGCACGACATGTCGACGACGCGGGGCTCTGCTGGCGCCGGAAGAGCAAGAGCCAGAGCAAGAGCCGAGGGGAGATATTCACGGAGTTTCCTCGCCCTAGCAAGGGTGAGAAGAAGTAGGCGTTTCCCAGACATTTTGGGCGTGTTTATTTAGACGATAGGTGCGGAGAGCTGTTAACAATATGGAAAATGGAAATCGTGCAAAGGGCGCAAGGCATCTTATATAGCATTACGGTCCCTTTAGTTCCCAGGCACTCACCTTTATCAATAATAGCGCAAAGATTGATGAATGAGCCTGGTTGCAAACAAATATGTTGATCTGTTCACTCCCAATGGCGGGTGCCTGGAGGAAACGGCGCAGTCGAATCCTTCCAGCTTTGGTCAGATTGTCATCGGCGAGCCCCTGAAGGCTTGGCGTGATGTTCAGCCTTGTTGTCCACGGTCTTGTCATCCCGGAGGACTGTGGCATTGGGGAAGATGTTGCAACTCATAAGAAAAGTGCGAGGCACGCAGTCACTTGTATTTTGGACTAATCAATGCAACAGCCAATACGCCAATTCCCAATATTGTACTACTCCGATGGTATGTCTCCTTAATTTGTAGACTCACCAGCCGATGCAGGAACATGCATACTAATTACCTCACCGATTGAGGTCTGAGGACGACTCTACACCACAACATGAATCAACCATGCGCACTCTCAAAACCCCTTCTCAAAATCAGGAGTGGTAAGTTCTTCTTTGACAAACGGCCTAGTCAAACGATAAGACCAGCCTGGCTTTTCTTTGGCGGACATCTCCTTGCTAGGTGCACATTGCTCTTTCTTCTCCAGATCGCCTTGAGTATTCGTCTCTCTAAGAGGGTAAATGTGCTGCTCGATCGATGGCGGACTGCCTTTATCATTCACCCTGCGCTCTCGGAGGTTGCTACGGGACAGTCGGGTAATGAGATTCCCCAGCTTTCTGCCTATTGGTGAACTGACCAAAGACGAGCTTCTCTCCCGGGCATTTGAGCGTCTGTCTGACAAGGGCGATCCTTGACTGTCTGATCGTCCGGGAGATTCCTTGGATTTAAAGTTCTCAGGTGTTGTCAAGGGCCGATGGAGGCTGGGAGCTGGTGACGCTTCATCTAGTCCTGAGCTGGAATTGGCTTCGGAGATCTTGCTTAGTTGGGCAATGGAAGGGCTGCCTGTGTTGAAATGCTCCGGTGTGCGTCGCAGCTGAGCTTGATATATCCATTTTTTCCGGAGCGAGATCGGGACTTCATGAGCATTGGTATCCATGATGGAGCTGTGAACAGCCAAGCGAACTCCTCTGCGGGAGAATCTCCGTGCCAGAGCATCTTGCTTTTTCTTCTTATCAGAAGTGGGCAGAACATCCTCGACCACGGAAACATCCACACCAGTAGCAGAGGACAAGTTTCGACCGTGAGCACCAGGTTTGAAAGAAGGAGTTTTATCGACAGATCCACCAGAAGATGTCGAGGAGGAGTGCTGGTGAGATTTGCTTGCGAGGTTGTGGAGGTCCTTGATGGCGTGTCTGCTTGCAAAGACGGTCTCGAGGATTGCAAGATCTTCTTGCATGGTGTGAGGAGAAGACTCGGCGAGGCGACCGGGTGAGCTGTACGATATCAGATATGCAGAGTTGGCGAGATCAGGACCGCTTACTTGTGCATTCCATATTCCTTCCCATGATGCAGTACGGTCCGCATGACGATCAGGGTAGTCTTGTTCGCCTCGAGGTGTTTCTGCAGCTTTTTGACGTATCTCTTCTTGGCCAGCCAACCGACAGCACTGGTGTTCAGGCCGTTAGCCTTTTGCATCTCCTTGCAACAGTCCGCTATGTCTTCGAAGATTCCCCCCAGGTGATTGTGAATTTCGGCCAGATCTTGACCAAACGCTTCGGTGTAGAGATCTTTGTTGACCTTGACTGCAGCATCGAGACTTCGGAGTTCAGCAGCAAGAAGTTTGAGTTCCTCAGCCGCGTGGGAGATCTCGGTCGAGGTGCTCTCATGACCACAGTGCTCGCGTTGCTTGTCGAGGCTGTCGGACAAGGTGTCTGCTTGGACTGCAAGTTCGATGAGGTTGGTTATCTCTGCCGGCGACGATGGAGAAGTAGTAAAGTAGCTAAAGGACGTGGATCTGTCCTGATCGTCAGCCATGATGGCGAGGCGTCGAATCTGTGTTCGCAAGTGCACCAAAAGGACAGAGAGAAGTGAGGTCGAGCGAAGTCTGAAATCGAGTTGTAAGGCGCCGTTACAGCCGGCGCATGGCACTGTCACCGTCGCGACCGCCAGCTTTCTTCACTACAGAACTCGAGGAAGGAGGAATCAATAACGCACTGCACCATACTCACATTACATTTGCGAAAGCCCCAGCTCAGCTGTACTGTTGATGTTAGATGATCTGGACTCTATGGCGGCTGGGCCTGATGCTCTGACATGCTTTTTCTCTTTCCTTGGACTCCGCCTTCCTGTCAAGGACTGTAGGCTTGCATCTTCCCATCCGATTAATCAATCTCATCGCTGACCTGTTCACCAACCCGAATTGGATACCTGGAGGTCCTTTCTATTCCACCCCCAACTCTATTCACCTAACCATCGTACCACTTCTTGAAATCGCAACATTTGCACCCGATGTTGATCGAAGTGTATTGGTCGTGGCCGATCCGGATGTTCCATCCACGACGACAGCGTGGGCAGTCATGCTCATAGTTCACAAAGCTCTTGCAGAGATCGAAAGCATTCTTCATCATCCCAATCTCCGCACGTAGACTCTCGTTCTCATAGCGAAGGTCATCCTTGATTTTTTGGTTGGCCGACCGTGACTGCTGCAGCGCCTGATCTTTGCAGGCGACTGCTCTCTCCAGGTCTTCGACCTTCTCAGCGAGCTTTTGAAGCGCAGGCTTAACGCTCTGAGACTTGTATTTCTGCACCGCCTTGTTCGCATCCTCCATCTTCAGCACAGAAACCTTCTCCGCGAGCAACTCTTGTTGCAAAGACACGTGCGAATCCTCCAGCTGACGTACCGTTGCCTCAGCTGTGTCAACTCTGGCTTCAGCTGATGCCAGAGACCTTGACAACGTCTCCACCTTAGACTCCAGCATCTTCTCAAGGTTCTCTGATGCGGACTTCTGTCGGAGATGACGTGACTCCAGAACTGAAACCTGGTCCTTGCTCTTTTCCAATTCCTGAATGGCCTCACTCAGACGCGTGGCCAACTGGTGCTGAACGGACATCATTGCGTTCCAGGTCATCGGATGGAGCTCTTCGATCAGAGACACCAAGGCACTATCTTTCTCCACCACCGGCAGGTATTTTGCGCAGACGCCAATGAATAGTTTTGCAAACTCCCTGTGCTCTCTGAGAACATAAATGGCGCATGTGCGGAAGTCGCAAGAGAGTGGAAATCCTGCCTGTAGTTCGACCTCAAACCAGGCCGACACTTTGCCCATTGCTATTCCCTTTAGCGCAGGAATCTCTAGCTTCTCCGCCGCGAAATACAAATCTACCTCGGAGATGACTTCGGCGTAGTCCCTGCAGGCATCCATGTCGTATGGGTCCTTCAGCGCAGCCTGCTTGCTCAGCATGATTGCCCACTTCTGCTTATTGGTAACGATGTCTGTCGTCCTGGTAGTGCCGTCGTTGAGATCGATCGTGATTGGCTTGCCTTTCACTGTGGAGAGGAATTTGTCTGTGATGGGGAACTTTTGATGCAGAGGCAGGTGAGAAAAGGCGTTGGATAGCAGGGACTTCTGATACGACTCCGGAATGTCACCATGATAGATGAACGTGAGAATTTTCCCCAGTGCAGTAGGTGACACGTCGTTGACCATAATGGCTTCACCGTCAAATAGCTAGAAGTCGGGTCAGTCCTGCCACATACAGGGACAGACATCGGAACAGACCACTGATGTACACGCATCTGCCCTCAGCAACCGTGAATTAGCGGCAACAATCGGCCTGTGAACGAAAAAGAACTCCCCATTGCAGATGAGGATAAGATCGGACCCCTCCCCAGTAGTCAGGTATCGCAGTAAGGTGCCCATGTTGAGACCTCAAAGACAAGGAGTGATTGTGGAAGTACAGTCAAAGGTGACGTGGGATGTCGGTGAAAGGGTGAAGTGAAGAGAAGGTGAGTTTTGGTGAATTTCAAGTCCAGAAAACCAAGCATGTGGCTGACTGTGGCGCTCCCATCGCAGTGTAAGGGCTCCAAATGTCAACTTGGGCCAATCTCGGCCAGCTGCACCCGCCGTCGAGCCTGCCTTCAACGTGCGGATTGTACTGGGGAGACCAAGCTGGCGCTTCCCGGTGGAGAGGACTGTGATTATACGGATCCCTGCCTGGAGTGAGTAGCTTCGTTCAGGCGGCTCTCCATCCGCCTCAGATCTGGTTCAGGTGACCTTTGAACTAGTTCTCTATCGTCTCAGTCTTCTTTTCGTTACGACGGTTGTAAACAGCCGATGCGCAAGTTCAAACACCCTGACTGAATTGTCGTCATCGACTTCGAGCCTTTCTCTTCATTCTCCATCCCCGAACAGATCCTCCAAAGTCTGACACATCCTCTTCTGCAACTCTCTCAGCTCACCTCTATCAATTTTCCCTCTGTGCTGACCCGGGGTCTCCTCGGGGCCATCCTCCATGATCACCAACTCATGCTTGATAGCATAGAACGGGACGCCCATTTCCCTGAGTTGTCTGTCGAAATCCGCAGTCATAGCACACAATGCCTTGTAGACCTTCTCATCGTAGGCTTTGAGTTCTGCTTCGTTCGCCTGCTGCTGTGCGGCATCTGGCGACGACGGCTCTTTCGCACCGGCCGGCACATTGGCACCAAGTGACTTCAATATAGCCGAAACTTGTTCCGAAGTGCCTGGCCTCCCTTGCTGTCGTTCAACGATGGCTTCACGACCGGCCCACCATTCTTGCTCGTGCTTGTGTTGCTCGTGAATCAGATGTTTGACCCTGTTTGCGACCTTCTCGTTCGGAACGAGATGGCGAGTGACATGTTTTAACGCTGCCGGCCAGGTAGTGATGCTCGATGCATCCGGAGTGTCATACTTGGGTGTCGACGTTTTACTGCGAAGAGATTCTGCTGATTCACGGGCGACTGACATCCTAGTCTGATGCTGGGTTTGAGTAGCTGGAGGTGACTGCTGGTGACCATGAAACGGAGGAGTCATGGATCTGTCGTAAGGATGGGGTTGAGGATGTAGGCGAGGGCCCGGTATGTTTGCTGGCGCGATCTTGGGAGGATTTAATTGAAACAGAGCTTGATTCTCATGAGAGATACTGGCATATAGAGAATGCTGCTGTGTTTGATATTGCGTTTGCTGTTGCTGGTGAGAAAGGCTGTTCAGCGCTGCCAGCACTCGCTGAACCTCCGGGTTGCGGTTGCCCTCCATTTCGGAATCTATCTAGACTAACTGCGAGCGATGATGCCAATTGGCAGGATCCCAGTCTCCCACAAAGAAAGATGACGATATTCACCAGGCAAGAGGTCGGTAGGTCAGCCCCTGGAAGGGGTTTTGAGGATGGAGACCTAGAAGTTGAAGGTCGGACAAGAAGTCAGATTGCTTGGCAACATTTCAGCCTTGTGTCCTGACGAGGCTGCACTCCTTGCTGGTTTCTTTTCATAATGCACAACTACACGGAATGACTGAGTGCTACACCTTGCCGGGATACGGTGGACATAGCAGTCACACTTCATATATTATATTCCGTATATTGGCGGATGCAATGCCTTGCCGAGTGCTAGCCAACTTCCTTGTCACTCACTCGATTACGCCAATGGTCCCAAATTCTGTCCACTGTTGCCCGGCCCTTGCAACCGACCAGCAACAGGATTGCGAAGGGATCTGCCGTTTTTACGAGCCCGGCATCGAAAATGTCGCACAGTTCCCTTTATGACAGAAGACGAAGACCGCGCAAGTCTCATTCGGCAGATATCCCGGATCAATCTCAGAGATCCTCGGCGGAAGCGATTATATCCTTCTTCGTGGATGAAGTCCGTAGAGTTTCGCCGGATGGACTCAAGCGGATAGAGAGTAAGGCCCTCAACGAGGCACGCAGGCGACCCGGCATCCACGGGCAGAAACATCACTGGCTCCGTCATCCGCAAAGTTGACTGCCCTGTTGTCCAGGAGACGTTTCCACCATGAGTGCTCCAAAACCTGCGTTCATTGGGAACACCTATGGGATGTGTGCACCGTTGTTGACAGTCGGGTTGGAATCTGGCGCTCCATGTGCCGCGCCTTACCCGGAATATCCGAGAGGCTCATTTTGATAGGAGCACTGAAGTCGTTTTTGTAAGCATCTGGAGCATCTAGGCAGGGCCCTCGAGCATCGATTTTTAGCTCGAATCCATGATCGACAACCTCGCGAGAGGGTGTTTCGCGTATACGCTTGTGGTGTCTCCTCAGAGCCAATGGGTTACTTCGTTGCTGGCGGTTACGTGCGTTCAGCGCAAAGTGTGCCGATGAGTAGACAGGTGTCGAGCGACTTCGGCTTGCGGCAAAGTCAGCTGGTCCTGTACAGTTGCGAATGACTCACCGGCTTGCGCACGTACCGTAGGAGTGAGGTAAAAGTTGGGGTAGATCTTGCTCTGAAGGCGTCTCCGCCCTGAGCTTCGGCGGGTGGCCTGAGATTGTCGGAGACTACGACGTTTTGGTACATCTCGAGAGTTTTCGCAAGGCTGGCCGTGTTCCGCAAGAACTTCCGCAAGGAGATTCATGGCTCCAGCCCGCACACAGCCGCAGCCGGCGATGGTATTGGATCATGAATAGCTCATTGGTACGGCAAGGATCAGTAATTGAGAACGACACGGTAAGCGGCAACGGTGGCCATCAGAAACCCATCTTCGTCCCGTACAACTGTCGGGGACTATGCTCCCAAAGGCTAGCATATATCTTCCGGAGGCAGCCTCAGGCTTTTATGACGACTCTGGATCATGTAAGCTAGAGATAGCCCGTTCCAACTCAAGCATGAACATTGGAAATATAAAAACCGCCGGCTCCTGCCTCTTAATCTGAACGACCCAGCATTGCTTTACTCGTCCGGAATATCACCTTTGCAACACATCCCCAGAGAGTCACAATGTCATCCCAGCCCCTCAAAAAGATTGTTGTAGTCGGCGGTTCTGGAGCCGCAGGAGCACCAATAGTCCGAGCCCTTCTGGAAGCCAAGAAGTTCCAAGTATCCGTGCTCAGTCGCGCCGGATCCCAATCGACATTCGCAGAGGGCGTTAATGTCATCAAAACCGACTATACGCATGACAAGCTCGTCGCCGCACTGAAGGGGCAAGACGTCGTCATCTCGACCATTACCACATTTTCAGTCGACCAACAAAAGCTTCTCATCGACGCCTCAGTCGAGGCCCGTGTGCGTCGGTTTTTGCCGTCAGAGTTCGGCGTGGATACTTCTGACCAGAGCATTGGCAAACTTGTTCCGCCTGCCGGAGTCAAGAACGAGACCGTGGCCTACCTCAAGACCAAAGAGTCATCTGGCCTGAGCTGGACTGCAGTCATCGTGGGCGCATTCTTTGACTGGGTGTTCGACAAGCCGGGCGTATTGGGCTGGAATTTGCCAGAGAAGTGCGTCACTATATTCGATGGTGGAGATGTCGAGTTTGAGGCCACGAACCTTGCACAAATAGGCCGCTCGGTGGTCGCCATCCTGGAACGCGCCGACGAGACTGCAAATCAATATGTCTATGTCAACAGCTTCACAACCACGCAGAACAAGATGTTGAAGGCATTCGAAAAGCTCAATGGAGAGCAGTTCAAGGTGACACATGCAAGTATGGAGGATTACAGCAACGCGGCACAAGAGAAGATCAGGTCGGATCCGGGTAAGGGAGCAATGTTCGTTCAAGGTGGATATGAAGCGATCATCCTCATCATGCTCAACCATCGAGGATACTGTGAGTATTCGAAGACGAAGGGGCTTTGGAACAAAAGGCTTGGACTGCCAGAGGAGAAGCTGCAGGATACTGTCAGGGCTGTTCTAGCCAAAGCTGCGGCATAACTTCGAGACGGAAGAGACCTCGTACAGTATCGAGAGTATCCTCGGTGCCTGGGGGACTTCCAGCTCCAAATGAATGACGCGATCTGCGCCTAGCTAGACTTGTAGTCCGCCGTACCTCGTACGGATCCTCCGAAAAAGTGGGCCGTCCATCCATCATGCCATGCTCGTTTTCGAGCTTCATTTCACTATCGAAAAGAAGTCTTCCCAGTCGAACACTTCGTCCACTCTCTTCCCTTCTCCGTGTACATTATTTGCTATTTCTCGAAACGGCGTCTTGTATGCCGATAGTGTACCAACGCAGCTAGACGAACCCATTTTCTCACACTCATCCCAGACATCGCCATGAAGACTTTCTCGTTCAACATGTCTCGACGACCACCGGCAGACACGTTCACACGCTTTACCTCAACAACCCCTCATGCCACGACATTCACATATCAACCATCCGCACGGCCAACGAGCAGATCTACACCTTTATCTTCCTCACCTTCGCCTTCATCCCAATCTCCTTCCTCACAACCTCCTGACCCTCAGTCACAACCGCCCGCGAATGAGACGCCAATGGAGAAAGTCGCACGCCTGCGCGCCGCGCACCGTGCAACTCTGGCCTCCCAAAATACTTCCACATTCGACCGTCTGATCTCCTCCGGCCGGAACATCGCCGACCGCGCGCACCGCCTCACAGCATACGGATTGATCCTCTTCTCCGGGTTAGCCGTTTGCGTGACTGCCTACGGCACCATTTCTCTAATAGCACATTCTCGAAGACAAAAGCGCGCGTGGATAGAGAGGGAGCTGGACAGGTTGGATGAAGCGCGAAAAGCATTTCTACGAGGTGACGCGACGGCAGAACAGTTACATCTACTTGAGCAGGAGAGGGCGGGCCAGGAGATTGAGGCTGCGAGGATGAAGGAAGCGGAGAAGAAGAAGAGCGAGGGCGTCTGGGGCCGGGTGAAAGGACTTGTTGGAGGACAATTGGCGAAAGGAGAGATGGGAGAGGAAACCGCGCAGGAGAGAGAAAGGAGGCTGACGAGGAAACAAAGAGGCGGGGAGGCCGGATGGATTGAGGGCGAGGTACAGCCTGTGGCTTCCGCGACCTCACCCGCAGCCACGCCCGGGTCTGTCGTTCGCACCGCCATGCAGGTTGCACCCAGCGAAATTCCAGGTGTAGGCATTGACTCCAAGGGACGGCCTGTACCGGCTGGCAGGGTAGAGTATCTCGCCAGCAAGGTCGCAGAGGATCCAAGCACAGGCGAGAGAACAATGACGGTGCGCGCCGGTGGCCCGCTCGATATTATGGCCAGCAATGTGGCGGGTGCGGTTGCTGGGTCCTCAAGTACAGAGGGCAAGAGTTGGTTGAGTTGGATCAGGGGGAGCGCCAGCAGTAAATCGTCGGACTAGGTTTGATTGATTGGTCTGGAGCGGGCTTCACATTGAAGGGCCACCAGCATGTCGTTTGTACAGTTACTGTCACCAGCGCTTTCTGTGCAGAAGGAGCTATCGCACCTCTCGAAAATAAAAGTATGCAGAGTGGGAAGATCTATGTTTAATCTGGCTTGCACGATTCGCTGATGGAGTGCTTCCCCGCGAACGACAATGCCCGTAAACCATTCGCTTGCAATCGTAATACATCGAATTCATCCATCATTTTTCTCATAATCATTCATGTGCAGCTGCACCATCGCTGCCGCTGGTCCGTTCACGTCCATATAATGTGACTGTAATGCCCCGGCACCTTCTGCAGACACTTCTCACAGTCGTTCAGAAACCCCATATGAAGTCTCCCTGTCCTCGCCCGCCCGCTCGGACTGTAGTTCCCATCAAGCCCATATCTTCCGTTTGTCCATTGCGCGTCCTTGCCGTAGTCATCCCGGTCCACCATCATGTCCATGTCCTGATCCTCGACCGGACTAGGCAAGCCATCACGGCTAATCCACGACTCTTGCTCGATCATCGGGCTGAGATTCGTGCGCAATGGCGGGAACTGGTGACGCGGGACGCTGGGCAATTCGTTGACGCGATGGTCAAAACGGCTACAGATGGGTGTGGGGACTCTCTCACGCGCGACCGTGTCCATTGCGCTGAGGAGGTTTGAGTCACGCTCAGGCGGCATTATGTCGTTTGATCGGGCACGTCGGATTCGAGGTTGAGTAATGAGCGGAGTCGTCATGTCCATGTCGATGTCAAGATCGCCGCACTGGGCTTTGGTCGACGAAGTGCTGCTGTCGCTCACGGGCTGAGAGTCCTGCTTGGACAACTTCCAGGTCTCGTCATCTTGGGCTTGATGACCCAGGCTCTCGTCATCCGAGGTGTCAACCGGGGTCGGAGGTTGCTGGTAGATGGACGTGTAAAGTGAAAAGGACGCGGGTGGCGCCGAGACGTTTGGTCTACCGGGCGACAGGCGGATGGGCAGACAGTGAGTGGCCATGGATCGTCTTTTGGCATCACGAGCATCAAAGGAAGAATCGTCATCGCCCCGGTGGTCAAAGTGTCTTTTTCGCTTTTGCGGGGGAGGTGTCGAGATGTTGAAGCGGAACGCGCCTGACGAGGTATCGACGTCGGGCATGGCGTTTGAGTCGGCGTCGTTAGAACCGGACATCTGATGTTTAGTCCTGAAGCAGTTGCGGAGCAGCACTGGAAGCGTTGCGTGATTGAAGGAGTTCTTTTATGTTTCCAGTGCGTCGATGCCGGTCATGGCCCCGTGCTCAAGGGGAGCCGATCAAACGGTGGCAGTGTCGGGCGTAGACGACTTGGTGTGGATGAAACATGGACAATCTGGCTGAGGACCAACCAGAGCGCGCGCCAGAGCGCGGCGAATAGCCGGGCCGCAGTTGCTGATGTTCGGAGGGTCAGCTTTCCGCAGAGGTTTTATCAATCCGTATAGGGGGCGGCGAAGTCGTAGACACCAGCATAGACGTGATCACGGTGTACGAGGACAGGGTGGAAGGAAGTTGGAGTTCGACCGCGACAACGAGCCGTGGGTAATGGGAGTGTCGGTCACCAGGAGGCAGTCATTCGCGTTTTGTGCGTCTGCCGAGATGCCGAAAGCCACCGCAAGCCACCGCAAGCCACAGATTGACCGACGTCATCACTTGTGGCTGCTTGTGACAGGCGCTAACTCGGTATTCGTACAAGGCACTGGGACGGAATTATGGAGAATCATTTATCCGTCGCCATCCAGACCGTTGCCCCCGACTGTCACACCGCCTTCGTCTATGCCCCTCATTCGAACTTTTTTTTTGGCAGTCCGGCCACGAGGCGAGCTCAGTCATATTCCAATCCTCGCCGCACGACACCCTTCCGTGCCCGTGGTGTGAATCATAATTGAAGAGCCTCTCCGCTCAGCAAACGAGCTCTTTAAACACGTTCTGTCGCTTTCACTTCCTTATTGTCTCTTTCTCACTTCTTCCTTTCCACTGCTCCCTTCTTCCCGCAACCCTGACCTTTTCGTAACCAGTCTCCCGTCTGCCCACTCTGCACAATGCCCGCCGTCGATGCTCCTGCGCCCACTCAGGGTGAGGACGTCCGAGTTCTGGGCTATGACCCTTTGATTCCTCCCGCGCTCCTGCAAGCCGAGATTCCCGCATCGCAGACCTCCGTTGAGACAGTCGCCAAAGGACGGCAAGCATGCAAAGAGATCATCCATCAGCGAGATGACAGACTATTGGTCATGGTCGGACCATGCTCGATCCATGACCCAGCCACAGCCCTTGAATACGCTCAACGGTTAAAAGAACTTTCGGCGAAGCTTTCCGCAGACCTCTGCATTATCATGCGAGCCTACCTAGAAAAGCCGCGCACAACGGTCGGATGGAAGGGGCTCATCAACGACCCTGACATCGACGAATCCTACAAGATCAACAAAGGCTTACGAGTGTCGAGACAGCTCTACGCAGACCTCACGTCGATGGCAATGCCTATTGCGAGCGAAATGCTCGACACAATCTCCCCGCAGTTCCTTGCCGACCTGATCTCTCTGGGTGCGATTGGCGCAAGGACCACGGAATCCCAACTGCACAGAGAACTCGCCTCAGGTCTATCCTTCCCTATGGGCTTCAAGAACGGCACAGACGGGTCTCTTTCTGTCGCAATCGACGCAGTGGGCGCCGCAGCAGCACAGCACCATTTCATGGGCGTGACCAAACAAGGTCTCGCCGCCATCACAAAGACCAGCGGCAACGAGGATGGGTTCGTCATTCTGAGAGGTGGATCAAAAGGCACGAATTACGATTCCGAGTCGGTCAAAGCAGCTCGTGCGGCGCTAAAAGCAAAAGGGCAGAGGGAAGTCATGATGATTGACTGTTCACACGGCAACTCGAAAAAGAACCACAAGAACCAACCGATCGTCGCTCAAGACATTGGCGACCAAATCAGACTAGGAGAGGACAGCATCGTGGCCGTCATGATCGAGTCGAACATCAACGAGGGCAACCAGAAAGTGCCCGCCGAGGGCGGTCTTGCAAGCCTCCAGAAGGGCATCAGCATCACGGATGCATGCATCAACTGGGAAACGACGGTGGAGGTGCTCGAACAGTTAGCCGACGCAGTGCGGACGAGGAGAGAAGTGGTCAAGAAGAGACATCAAAATGGCACCAACGGTGTTTCAAATGGCCATCATTGATCTATTCAAGCAATTGGCGACCCGGCCACTGCACTGCTCCTCCTTTCAACGCAAAGACATCGACCTGACGGGCGACTAGAAGCATTGTCAATGGCCAGCTGAAAACCGACACAATCCTGCATTCGTGGGCGTTGTTGGACTTGAAAACGAGCATCCAAGCTAGAACAAAATTTTGCAAGGAAAAGGGAAGGCGAAGAACGGGCGAGTTGCATTCGGGACTTATTTGACTGTCTCTCCCCCTCCGCTTTGTGTAATTTTCAGGCGTCGGGTAGGCAAGAGCCAGGCTGTCGGCGCACAATAGCACAATGTTCATACGAATCGGCTCGCACCTTGAATTCCGTCCTTTTCAACTCTGGTCTACGTATTTTGACTTGGCTTC